AGTGTTTGTGTGTGCAGCCTCACTCCTCTGTTAGAGGGGCTTCTCTCCCATGCGTTCATTGTACCCTACCCCCGCTCCAGCTCTCATCCCGCCTTCCCAAGCACCTGACCACTTCTACCTCAGTGGGAAAGTCATTTACCTCTCTGTGCCTCAGTTTACTCAGTAACTTACCACTAGACTGTGAGCTCCGCGAGAAACCTTTCCGCAGTTGTACTCAGCACCTCGCACCGCACCTAGTCCGGAACAAGTGCCCAATAGACGTCTAGCCAACCAGTGAGCGGGTGAGTGTGGCGTGCGGCCCATGGGACCTGGATTATTGTATCGGGGTCTGGGGAGCATCATTGGTATGTTAAATTTCTCATTTTACAAAAAAAATTGAAGCAACTTGCAAAAATGATCATGTATACAAAATAATTAAAGTAGGGAATCTAAAATTAAAGTATTAAAAGGATAAAAAAAAACCCTCAAATCTAGATGGATCAAAGACCTCAATGTAAGACCAACCACACTGATCATCATCATAGAAGAGATAAGGTAGTAGAGAGTGAATTTACATTTGCTTTTAAATGGACTGATCCAAGGGCAGTTGCAGGGTAAGACTTAAAAATTCTCTAACCATGTTTGACGAAACATTAAGTGTTGACTTCTTGCCCTTCCATCAGAGCTTTTCTGAGACCATACTCTTACAATAAGATAAAAATACAAGAGCTCCTAAGACAAAGAATAAAAAAGGAAAAAGAAAACTTTCCAGTAGAGAAAAGGGAAAGTAAGAAAATCATCCCCATAGAGAAGAGGGAAGGAAAGGAAATAAAAGGAAATTTCTCAAAGAAAAAAGGAGAAATAATTAATCAAGAAAAAAGGATTTCCCCCTATATATGGAGGCCCAAAAATGTGAGCCTGTTTCACCTTGTCGGAAGGTCAGAGATTTTGAGTTTATTTTGCTCACTCAAAGTTGTTGACAGCAAGTGTGGCTGCCCACCCTGACCTAGGGTGTGGTTACCTGGTGTTTTGAACACTAAGATGACCCATGGAGATAGATCCACTAAACCCTGATCAAAGGCCAGAGAATTCAAGCAGACTTCTGCTCCTTCTTTTGAAATAGCTGGTTTGACCTAGGGAGTAGCTGCCTTCAGGATTCTTGGTCTAGGGTGGGTTCACTGCCCAAACAACAGAATGCTTAACTCAGGGTATAGTTGCTTGATGTCTCAAGTATTGGGACAAGTAACTGTTCTGGTTGTTCTTTGAATCATGTTAAAGCAGTCTTTTTCCTTCTTCCCCCCTTTTGTATTGGGATATAAAAGTGTATGGAAAATTAAATACGGGGTGAACTCTGAAGTCAGAATTTGGAATTAAGCATTCAGTATTCGCTGAGTTGCCATCCCATTACTATCCTGTGTTTCTGTGATTCCTTCTTATCTCTGTTCCTCCAACCTAACTTTTTAATCCTCATGCTCCTGTTTAACCCTGGTATATGATTCAATTCTCTTTCCATTTTCGTGAATCCTGTCCCAAGCATTTAAGGCTGCTTTGTGGCATAGGGACAAGATTTTTTCATCGCAAAAAGCTTGAATCTGTGGGTCAGCATAAAGGCCTTCACCAAAAATTTGATCTTGGGAAGTCTCTAGGCATTTTGCTTTTCCCTATTGTTTTGAAATTTTGGCTTCTTCTCCAAAATAAATTTTAAACATTAATTGAGGTCCATCATCCAGGACTGCTGAAACTAACGAAAAGAAATCGTGTGGTGTTGCTTTGATGCTATAAGTCCATGTTTTTATCATCTCCTTAACAAATGCAGAATGCAAACCGTAAGTTACAATAGCTTGCTTATTAGATCATTCATTCCTATAGGTATCCATCTACCTTCTTTGGATCCTTTTGGGCCTTTAGAACTTGATGTTTTGTCAGAGTAGATTACAGGGTAGGAAGCTAAAACCTTGGGTAAGTAATGTCTGACAGTTACTGGTGATGCCTTCTTTCCCTGTTCATCAGCTACAATAATTTACTCAATTAATTCAAATCTTTTTATTATTGTCTTTTGTAAAGCCTGAATCTCCTGGCCTGTATATATTTCTGGTAATTTCACTGAGGCACCTAGCCTTTGGTCCTCATTCTGCACATGTGATTCCAAGGTCGAAAGCTTCTCCTTTAAAGATAACATCTCATCCTTGGACATTACTTGAATAGCATGCAGATTGCCATCCTGGAGAGGCAGTCTTTCTGCTCACTTATCATAACTTTTTAACAAATTTTGATCATCAAATTCAATAGTATGAATTCTCTCAGATAATTTCTTAGTACCCTTGGATATGGATTCAATTTTGTCCATAAAATTAATGCTATCCTTTTTAATAGTATTAATTTTTTCAGGCAACTTTTGATTTATGATGGTATTAATCCTGTCAACAAGCTGTTCATTATTAGTCTATAAAGATTGTATCATTCCTAAAAGTGTTATATTCTTTCTTAATGATAGAATATGGAGAAGAAAACTGAAACCCAATACCCAATAAATTGAATTATCACCATAGCCATATAAGCCTCGTATAATATGACCCATATTATCAGCAAAAAAAGTTACTAAAAGGGGGCTGGAGAGATGGCTCAGAGGTTAAGAGCATTGCCTACTCTTCTAAAGGTCCTGAGTTCGATTCCCGGCAACCACATGGTGGCTCACAACCATCTGTAATGGGGTCTGGTGCCCTCTTTTGGCCTGCAGGCATACACACAGACAGAATATTGTATACATAATAAATAAATATTTAAAAATAAAAAAGTTACTAAAAGTTGTAATATTAATGAAGTCTGCCATATTGATTTATTAATTACCTGTTATGTGATCTGGTAAACTGCAATCTTTATTGTCCAGAGACGTCATGGTTGCAGAGTTGCGACTAGAAGCAATGCAACCGGTGGCGACAGGATTGGTCCTGGGCTGCTTTAGTTTCCACCTTGGTACTGGCTAAATACTGAGAAATATGCTTGGCTTGACAAATCAAAAGCAATTCCATATATGGTGCAAGAAACCCAGAACTCACAGGCAGGAAGCAGAAACGGGAAGCTGTACAAGTCACCTCGGAAAGGAACCGTCCCAGGGAATGCAGCAGTTGTGCACGCACTTGGGAAATTTCCAAGTTGTCACATGCAGTAAACTCCATTGTGGCAGGGATTCTACCCAAAACTCCTTAGGTAAAAGCAAGCCAAGTGGACAGGGTTGGGAGACTGTCTGGGCCGGGGAACAGCTAGGCCGTTAGGCTGTCCACCTGGTAGGCATGGAGTCCGAATCCACGTGGGCGCCAAATAAAGGACACTTAAAAGAAATCCCACACTAGCTCAGAATTGAGAAATAGATGGTTATTTATTTAGGGTTAACTTACAAATCAGAATCCCCTGCTGGAACGGAGATCAGAAACTGAAATCCACAACCGGAAGAGAGGCTGGAAAAGAGGGCAGACACAGACTCTGCATCAGCACGTGTTGTATGAGGCCACACCCCAGTAGGCGGGAAACCGCTAGCTGTGAGACTTCCTGTAGCACCCTGGCAGATGGAGCTGTGCTGATGCTTACTATCCTTTTCTTTTTATTTTAACTTGTAATCATAAAATTAGGAGAATTCCTGAACCCTCTTCTCTGTAAAAGCTCTAGAATTATCTATATACATGCTCCTTGGCTCATGGGTGAAATTAGTCTCTCTGCATTTCCATTGACCTGCTCTGAGTGCTGCGGGAGCTAAAATTAGTTCTCTAAACTTTATTTGCCTCCTACCTAGGTGATTTTTTTAAAGCACTGCCACTTGTAGGAGATGGTGGGACTTCACGTTGCCTTCCCTGAGTCCTGGAGTGGCCCAAAGACAGTGAAGACAGAGTTGTGGACATGGCCAGCTCCGGGATGGGAATACGCTATTTACAAACTATACAACTCTGCTTTGTTTCCGCTCCACGTTAGCTCCTCTAGCTATCAAGATTCAGCCAAGCAACTGTACCGATAACTGAATACTATCACCTTGTTCCGTATTTATAACTATATACATTTTTACTCCCGATTTTTATTTTCTTACTCTCTTTGCTTTTTAAATTCTAGTACTTATTTCTGAGTGCTTATTATTCACCTGTGGTGCAATTTTTGCAGGCTCCTCACGTTCTCCTCCATATGTCTGGTCACTTCTGTGCATTTTGGGGTTCACCTGTCAGTTCCACACTGTGGTGCCATGTGTCAGGGTCCAGCCCCAACACAAGTCATTTCTTACGAGTGTAGAGGCGTGGGAATATTAAAGACACAATTCACATGACAGTTTTGAGACGGAGTTTCTAGTGATCATTCAAATCCTGAAATCACCTATGTTTATTTTTCAAACAGCTTTTTTTGAAAAGCTTCATTTGCATCCTGTTTTGCTGGGAGACTTATGTCACGTCTTGTTTATATCCATCTTGTCATGTAGGCTGAAACACCTCTTCCCCAGGTGACCTCATAATTACAATAGAAGGAGCAGAACGACAGACATTGGCATATCCAAACTACTTTCAGGATGGCACCGGGTTTTCTTTACTATCAAAGGTGCTACGCAACCATCTCCTGTGTCAGAAGGTACCAGATGCACCAGTTAAGTCTCACAGCTACTCCAACCATCAGACAAACGTGGGAAATGGCCTGCATTCTCGGCTCCCATCATGAACATCATAAAATTCTGGATCATTTCCTTAAGAATAATTATGATATATATATGTATGTATTTGGGGTATACCATTATATATATATATATATGGAATATACATGCATACATATATATATATGGAAAATAGCATCAACATGAGAAATTGATAACAATTTTAAATCTAGATGATGATCCAGAATGGTGTTGAATATTCCAACTTTTCCATAAGTATTAAAATATTCATACTTTTTTAAGGGGGGGGCAGTTGAGACAGGGTCCCTCTGTGTAGCCCTGGCCATCCTGGAACTCATTCTGTAGACCAGGTTAGCCTCATAGAGATCCACCTGCCTCTACCTGCCAAGTGCTAGGATTAAAGATGTGCACTATCACTGCCTGGCTCACACATGTATTTTTATAAATGGTTTCTATTTAGCTATTTTTGTTAATGTGTTAGAGGGAGCCCACCAGAGAAGACCACTCTGACAGTTTATATTAACTAAAAGGATTTATTCTAGCCAGCTGAGATTACATTCGGGTATTCAGGACCTAAGTGTAGCTCTAAGCATTTAGATTGAATCCCACATCCTGTAATATTGCTCAACAATGCAGAGGGAGATTTTGCCCAAGCAGGTAGTTTAAAAGTAGCCAAGATAAGCAGTAGCTGGAGGGGAAGTTTTGCACATATGGGCCCTTTAAGTTAAGCCAGGCAAATTATCAGGGGTAATTTGACCTCAGATTCTCTGAATAGAGTTGTGTAATTTTTCATGAGATTCTCCATCAAGACAATCAAATTCTACCCAAACATGACAAGCCTCAGTAAGAATAAGAGATGGACGATCCTGTGGACTTTTTTGCCCTGTCACAAATGTAAAGTTTATCTTACTGTGTGGGAGGAGGACATAAATGATGGGGCTTTTACCTTTTGAAATTCTTATGTGTTTAAGCCCTTTAGAAAGTACTTATTATCAATAGCTGTGTTTTTAACATCTCCACACAAATTCTTAAGGAATGGATTTGCAACTCAAATCCTTTCATATTCCTTTTTATGCATTACATGTATACAGAATGAAGTTGTTTAAAATCTAATAGAAAATGAATGCATGAGGTTTTCTAAACCATCTAAAGTACAAACGGTCTGTCATATCAGCTACAGTAATGCCAAGGGAGAAAAATGTAAAACCTATTTTACAGAACACAGGCATTGACCAAATACTCTGAAAAATCATATTACTTATTATAACCCTGTTCCCACTACTTTGACTGGTACTGGGCTGGCCATTCACAAACTCTGCAATAAGAAAGCAAACATTCAGTATGTTTATGTTAATATGACAGGAGACAGAGCATTAATCGTGACAAGGAAGGTGCCTCAGATAAACCAAGTTTGAATAACTGCTCTCCCTAAGCTGACTGACCTGGGTGAATAGTGTTTGACAAATTAAGTTTATAGAATGAGATGAGTAACTCAGGAACATGATGGTTATCCTTTATTTCTGACATTCAAAGATATTCTCAATAGAGTTTCATCTCTAAACAACAGACTTCCCACATTCTGATTCCCTAAGGGTTTCTTGGAATACTCTGATGTTGACCAAATCCTAGGGTAGATTAAAGTTCTTCCCACATTCTTTCCAGCCACAGTCTTGCCAATGAATTCTCTGACGTTCAGTAAAATTTCCATACAAAGTCTTGTCCACCCTCCTTACATGCATAGGACTCCTAACAATGATGGATTTTCTGATGTGTAAGCTCATGATTTACAATAAAGGCTTTCCCACATCCTTCACATTTATAGGGTTGCAGAACTATAAGGGCTCTGATGACGTTTCAGAGCTGAGCGAATTCTATAAATGTTCTCACATTCCTTGTATTTGCAGGGTTTCACTCCAGCATGGATTCCCTTATGTTACAACAAGGCCTCAGCTCGAATTGAAAGTCTTTGCATTCTTACAATGACAGTGTTCATGCCTGTATGACTGCTCCACTGTGCAGTGAAGGCTGAACTAAATCTAAACATCTCCCAACCTTTCTTAGATTCACATGGTTTCTCACCAGTGTGAATTCTCTGATATACTTCTACATTAGAATTATCACTAAAGGCTTTTCCACATTCCTTACATACATAAGGTTTCTTACCAATATGAATTTTAGTATGCCAAACCAAGCTTGATTTTCAACGAAAGGCCTTCCCACATTCCTAACATTGGTAAAATTTCTCACTAGTATGACTTCTTTGATGTACTTCAAGGTCTCTACCACAAGTAAAGTACTTCTCACATTCTTTACATTCATAAGGATTCTTGTTAGTATGAATTCTAAAATGTCCAAGAAATTGGTACCGATACTGAAAGGCTTCCCCACATTCCTTACACTGAAAGGGCTTCTCACCAGTGTGGATTCTCTGGTGAATTCTAAGGCCTGTACTACGAATAAAGTCCTTCCCACACTCCTTGCACTGAAAGAGTTTCATGTTGGTATGAATTCTCTGATGTTGATGAAGTTGGGACTGAAGTCTGAAGGCTGACCCACACTGCTGACATTCAAATGATTTCTCTCCAGTATGAATACTTCGGTGCCGAGTGAGCTGTGCCAAAACAGTGAAGGCTTTTCCACACTCCTTACACTGAAAGGGTTTCTCACCAGAGTGAATTTTCTGATGCTGCATGAGGTTTGAACGACGATTAAAGGCTTTCCCACACTCTTTACATTCATATGGCTTCACACCAGCATGAATAATTCTATGTTCAACAAGGCTGGAGACTCGCTTGAAAGACTTCCCACATTCCTCACATTCAAATATTTTTTGACCTGTATGAAGAATGTTTTTGTGGTAATTAAGCTGGCTGGGAAGATGAAAAGCCTTTCCACACTCCTTACACTCAAAAGGTCTCTCACCACTATGAAATCTTTGATGTCGAATGAGATGTATATTAAGTCTAAAGACTTTCCCACATTCCTTACACTCAAAGGGTTTCTTTCCAGTGTGAATACTCTGATGCTCAGTAAAATTTGAACGTCGACGGAAGTGTTTCCCACACTCCTTGCACTGATAGGGTCTCTCATCAGTATGGATTCTATGATGCTCACTAAGCTGGTTCTTACGTCTGAAGGCTGACCCACACAGCTTGCACTTGAAAGGTTTCTCATCAGTGTGAGTTTTCTGATGCTCAGAGAGGTATACCTGAAGCCTAAAAGCCTTCCCACAGACATTACACTCAAAGGGTTTCTCACCGGTATGAACACTCTGGTGACGCAAAAGGAATGAGCCACAACTAAATATCTTGCCACACTGCTGACATTCAAATGATTTCTCTCCAGTATGAAGGTTCTGGTGCCGAGTGAGCTGTGCCAGAACAGTGAAGGCTTTTCCACACTCGTTACACTGAAAGGGTCTCTCACCAGAGTGAATTTTCCGATGTTGTGTGAGGTTTGAGCTACGATTAAAGGCTTTCCCGCATTCATTACATTCATATGGCTTCACATCAGCATGAATAATTCTATGCTGAACAAGGGTGGAAACACGTTTGAAGGACTTCCCGCATGCATTGCATTCAAAGGGTTTTTTGCTTGTATGAACAATTTTATGGTTATTAAGCTGGCTGGGAAGATGAAAAGCCTTTCCACATTCTTTACACTCAAAAGGTCTCTCACCACTGTGAGATCTCTGATGACGAATGAGAAGTATATTAAGTCTAAAGACCTTCCCGCATTCTTTACACTTGAAGGGTTTCTTTCCAGTGTGAATACTCTGATGGTCAATCAAATTTGAACGTTGACGAAAGAATTTGCCACATTCCTTGCACTGATAGGGTCTCACATTAGTATGAGTTCTCTGATGCTCACTAAGTTGGTTCTTACGTCTGAAGGCTGACCCACACAGCTTGCAATTGAAAGGTTTCTCATCAGTGTGAGTTTTCTGATGCTCAGAGAGGTATACCTGAAGCCTAAAAGCCTTCCCACAGACATTACACTCAAAGGGTTTCTCACCAGTATGAATACTCTGGTGTTGCACAAGGTATGAACCAGTTCTGAATATCTTGCCACACTGCTGACATTCAAATGATTTCTCTCCAGTATGAATGTTCTGGTGCCGAGTGAGCTGTGCCAAAACAGTGAAGGCTTTTCCACACTCCTTACACTGAAAGGGTCTCTCACCAGAGTGAATTTTCTGATGTTGCATGAGGTTTGAGCGACGGTTAAAGGCTTTCCCACACTCTTTACATTCATATGGCTTCACACCAGCATGAATAATTCTATGTTCAACAAGGCTGGAGACACGCTTGAAGGACTTCCCACATTCCTCACATTCAAATGGTTTTGTACCTGTATGAATGGTTTTATGGTACTTAAGCAGGCTGAGAAGTTGACAATCCTTTCCACATTCCTCACATTCAAAAGGTCTCTCACCACTGTGAGACTTCTGAGGTCTTGTAAGTTGTTGGTGGAGTCTGAAGGTTTTCCCACACTCCTTACATTCACAGGGTTTCTCTCCAGTGTGAATAGTCTGATGCTGAATAAGAGTTGAACTACAATCAAGGTATTCACAACACTCTTTACATTCATAGGCTTTTTCTATATTGGGAACAAGAGTCTGACAGGTGTAAGTAGGCAGATTTTCTTTGTTACTAATCTTTTGATCAACATGTCCTTGATAACTCTGTAGTTCCTTGAATGTACTATAATTGGGGCCATTACTGAAACTGGAGGCCTTGAAGTCAAAAGCTTTACTTAATTGTTGTATACTCTGTTTGAATAAATTTCTATTATAAATATGATTTTCTGGAGATGTATTTTCAGCTTCATTACATGACTCCAAATCTGAAAGAAAAGGAGAAGTGAAAATACATTATTTTTCTATAACAAAAACACATTTTCCTGTAACATAAAATTTTAAATGAACAGACAGGCTCTAAGTCAGACTCTGAAGTTTCAGAGAAACTGAAAAGGAGCAAGTACAGCAGCAATAATAAGGCTTATATGAGACAATACTCTTTATAGCAGAACAGATTGTAAATGGGAAGAAGTATCTGTTTAATGAAATTATAACAATCTGAAATAGTCTTATGTCCTTCTTTCCATACTACTTAAAATAAACACCTTTTGGTAAAGGTTTTTGAAACAAATCATGAAAAAAAGAGTATACCACACAAATATATAATATGTGCCATGCTTTAAGAAAACTGGCCTGGCTGGGACTTCTTATAAAGGACGTAAAAGTCTGTGCTGCTGGTGGTGGTACAACTGTAACCCAAGCAAAAAGGATCCAGTAGTAACAGCGGCTTGAGTTTCAGGCCATCATTGTCTAGATGGTAAGATCTGTCTGTGAAAAATAAAAACAAGCTATAAAACCAAAGCATACCAACAGAAAGAAAGTGGGGAAGAGAATTCATTAAAAATTTTAAGAAGACTAAGGATCTCCAGGCAGGGAAACAGGTCTTTCCCTGCAGATCTTTACCTATCTTTTCTCTCCTCTAATCCATCCCATAGCTTATCCCTACCACCTGCTGTGGTCTCCTCTTCATTCCTGCCTTGATCTCCAATAGACCCAAACTTAAGGAACACAATGAAGCCAGTTCTATGAGGCACATTCATAGCACTGTTTACATACATAGAACAACTGGGAGAGATCTCTCTCAAACAACTTAATAGCACAACTAAAAGCTCTAGAACAAAAACATGAAATTACACCCACAAAGAGTAAACAGAAAGAAATAATTAAACTTGCAGCTGAAATAAATAAAATAGGAACAAAAGAAAGAAATACAAAACAAAACAATGAAACAAGAAGCTGGTTCTTTGCGAAAATCAGTAAGATTGACAAACCCTTAGCCAAATTAACTAAAAGTCAGACAGAAGATCCAAATTAACAAAATTAGAGATAAAAAAACCATAACAACCACACCTAGGAAATCCAGAGAATCATTAGGACATAAAAGCCTAAACTCTGCCAACTTGGAAAAATCTAAAAGAAATGGGTAATTTTTAGGATACATACAACTTATGAAAGTTAAATGAAAATCAGATAAGAACAGAATAAGAATAGAATCAGTAACATTAGTCTCCCAAACAAACAAACAAAAAACTGTATAGGGCTAGATGGTTTTAGTGTAAAAATTTACCAGACTTTCAAAGAAGAGTTAAGGTCAATACTCCTCAAATTATTGTCCAAAATTGAAACAGAAGGAACATTACCCAATTCTTCCTTCAAGACCTTAGGCATCCTGATACCCAAACCACATAAATATCCACAAAGAAAATTACAACTCAATTTCCCAGATGAACATAGATGCAAAAATTCTCAGTAAAATAATTTCAAACTGAATTCAAGAACACTAAAAAAGATCATCCATCAGGAACAATTAGGCTTCATCCAGATATGCGGGGAGGGTTTGACAAATGTAATCCACCATATAAACAGACTGAAAGACAAAGGCCACAGGATCATCTCATTAGATACAGAAAAGGCCTTTGACAACATTCAACACGATTTCATGATAAGAACCCTGGAGGGATTAGGGGGAAAACAAGGGACATAACTCAACATAAAAAAAGACAGTGTACAGCAGGCCCATAACCATCACCAACTTAAATATAGAGAAATTCAAAGCAATTACACTAAAATCCAAAAAAAGACAAGGTTGTCTACATTCTCCACACCTGGACAATAAAGTACTTGATGTTTTACGTGGAGCAGTAAGACAACTGAAAGAGATCAAAGATGTTGAGCATCATGAGGGCCAGGTGTGAGGCCCAGTGCAATTTCCTGAGCCTAACTTGAGATGGCATGAGGCCTAGTGTAACTTCCTGAGCCTAGCTAGAGTTTGGAGACCTGTCTCTGGCTACCTGACCTAGACCCGCCACCACCCAGCCACCTCTAGCATAGAAGAATATTATTGGTCCTTGTTTCTTGATCTGCCTTGGGCCATCCCAGGCTTCCCCACCCCCATCACAACCCTATATAAGTCCTTGCTTGATACCATTAAAGGAGTTCCTGCTTTGACAGACTCCTGACTCAGTGGGTGTGTTTCTCCCCAGTGCCCAGAGGGAGCGCTGAGTCAGGACACTCAACAGCCTGTTTAGCCCCAGGGAGAGTCCGGAGGTCTGGCTCTGCCCCTACTCTTTCTGCCAGCCAACCCAGCAAATGGGATGCAAATCAGAAAGGTCAAAATATCTTGTTTGCAGATGATACAAGTGACTCTGAAGATTCCACAGGAGAACTCCTACAGCTGCTAAACACATTCAGAAAAGAAGGTGGATACAAATGGCAAATATCTTACACCCATCAGAATGGCTAAGAGCAATAAAACAAGTGACCACTCACGTTGCCGAGGGAGGCAGAGGCAGGCACAGGCAGATCTCTCTGAGTTCGAGGCCACCTTAGTCTACAAAACAAGTTCCAGGATTGGCTCCAAAGCTATACAGAAAAGCCTTGTCTCTCAAAAAACCAAAATAATAATAATAACAATAATAATAATTTGGAAGAATCTCAGCAACGTGTAACTAAACAGCATAACTCTGCTTACTCCCCACACAGGAATCCCCATTGTGCCCCCCCAATTATACCAGGAATAGAAATGGAGAAGTGAAAGATTTACTGACTGGGCATACCTAGTCCCAAGGATGAGAAACTATCTGGAGAAACCCAGAGCCTGAGGCCCCTTAGGGCAAAAGCTCAGTTAGTAAGTACAGGACAGTGCCCACAATGAGGGGCTTATGGGTAAATGGGAAGATATGGGATGCTCCACGGTGGAGCCGCCATATCTGATGGGAATAGAAGAGTCATGAAGCCAGCACAGCTGTCTGACAGAGATCCAGCAAAGCGGAGCCACACAATGGTTCTGATCTCCACATGTTGCATGCTTGTGGAGGATTTATTCTGCACAACTTAGGGACAGTGGATTGATGGAAATTTTCTTAGGAATCATTTATGCCTTTCCCCAGAATACTGCTTCTAAGCTTCCCCATGAAATTCCTGAACATACTACCCCTCCCAATTTTAGGAAGATATCCTTATCTACTTGAAGGTCTTCCTTGGGCCTTGGAGGTTGTGATGCATACAAGAAGTCAGAACTCTCTTTATGAGGCTCTGAAACATTCTTAAAACATCTGCACCTACACTTGCCCAGCAACAAGATGATCAGAACAAAGGAAGGTCAGCAAGACTCGGTGGCTGGTGGCCGCAGATCAGAAGTCTCTTCCCACTATACACTCAGGTGATTATGTATGTGGCATCTACAGCAACAAAGTTAGGTTAGCTGGAGTTCCTCTGCCTGACACAGGGACTTATATTGATGAGCAAAGAATAAGGTAGAAAGATGATAAAAGAGTGAGGTGTCAGGACCCCCCTTTCTGAGAAAATTAGCTCATGCAGAGGCACTGTGATGTCATGTGACCAAGGAACAAAAGAAGATTAGATATATAAACAAATTCTATAAAGATATAAAATGCAAACATTGTATTATGCCAGAAACTGAATAAAAACTGCAGCAGCTCTGGCCTGAGGAACTTTCTTGGGCACCCTGACCATTAAGAGTTAATAATACACTGCCCGGGATAGGCCAACTGCCCGGGCTGGCTTGGAGATTTTCTTTCTGTCTAACATCCTTGAAGCCACAGAGCTACCAGCCTGAGAAAAGGCTGTCGTATCCTCTAGATTCTTAAAAATTGGGGTATGGGGTTGATGAGTAAAAATGCTTATAAAAAGTAACTCTGTTTATCAAGGATGACTAAACCTGAGAGAAAATGATTGTGAAATAACTCTGTTCTATCACGGTTCATCAGAAATGACTACCCTTATGATCCCAGATGTGCAAGAAAAAAGTTTAATACATGTCCAGAAACAGAAATGATATGATCTATGCTGTGGAACAACATGAACCTTTCCCTGCTTATTGAATTCTGTATAAATCAAGAAGCAACTGTGATTGCTAGTCAGTCAGGCTGCAAGATTCTCGCCACCACCATGGCCTGCCTCACTCCTTCCCTGTTGCCTATTCCTTATGTCCTCTCTGAAACCTGTCAACAGCCAGGGCTTGGTCCCCAACACTACGGGGAATAGATTCTGTTGAGAAGTTAGACTGGCTTGATCCCCCTCTGCCATATATAGGAACATACACTGTAGGTATCAGAATGTTATGGTATAATGGAAAGTGAGCTTATGAGGGGAACAGGCCCACACCATAAGACTAAGGCACAAAGGAAGGCAATTTGGAAACAGCCCCGGGCTTGTTGTACTATGTGGTACAAACACCATGCCATGCCCTTGAAGAATGCTAGCTACTCTTACGAGTTTATCTCTCAGGACTTCTGACACTTCCTGGCCACAAAGGCTCAGTCAGTGCAGCAGAAAGTGTAGGGGGGCACCTGGCGGGGTTACTGAACCTTAGAGGACAAGAGGCATTTAGATTCTTGCTAAATTTATTGGTTTTTGCTTCAAGAAAAACGCCATAGTGACATTGATGACCGCGTTTATCCCAGAGTTAAGTCTCCTTTCAATATTGCTTATGGTTAAACTACAATGCACTTACAGAGTATATCAGGTGCTGCCTATTTTTAATAAACAGGCAGCCACCCTGACCCACCCTTACCGGGTCAGTATCCTTCCCTCGCTGACTCCACACCTCCTCTTTGGGACCTGAACCCCACTGGAGCTGGACACAGGCAACACCCCATACCGAGCAAGGTGGGCGGCTGTGTGTGTGCTCGTATGTTGTTTCATTCGCTTGGCCATGTACTCTCCCTGAGTCAGGGTCCCTCATGTACCTGGAGTTGACTTGCCAGCAGTGAGAAGCACAGGCTACACCATCACACTGTCTTTAGAGGGACTGTGAAGATAGACAACTGAAAATATATACTATGTATCACTGGGCTACTGTTTGCAAGGGTATTCAAACTGTCTTCTCAAAGGATCAGAGGTTAGGAACATTGTAATTCCAGAGGACCTGGGTTGAGTACCAGCAGCCACCTGAAACTCTAGCCCCAGGGGATCTGACGCTCTCTTATGGCCCCTTTGGGTACCTGCACACACACAACCAATAATAAAATACATTTAAAATGACACAAAGAGGGTAACTGCTCCAGTATGATGGAAGAGGGGAGAACAACTTAGACTCATGAACTAGCAGCCCCTGTGGCAGCTTTTGCTATGACCTTGACTTCCTTCCCAGGTCTCAGGCACATTCTTCCACAGGCCCTGGCACTCTGAAGGGAGTGTGTCAACCCGGGTCAGGCGTGGGGACCTCTCCGACCACACGACGAGATGGCAATGCTGCAGCCCTGCCTTCCTCTTACTCACCTGGGCTAGGCCTGTCTGCTTCTTCCTTCCCAGCCATCCAGGGCTCTCTCTCCTGCTCCAATAAGGTGATCAGATCGGGTTTGGAAATGGAACTTCCCACTTAAAGAAAGGAAAAATGACATATGTGGAGACTTTCTTTTTTTGAGAATTGGTCTCTATCCCACGATGTCCTGGAACTCAATATGTAGACAAGGCTGGCTTTGAACTTATTCATCTGCCTGCCTCTGCCTCCTAAATGCTGAGATGAAGGGTGTGTGGCACAATGAGCTGCCAGTATAGATTTTTAAAGATGCAGATGTATTTATTATAAAGTTCTATACGGGTTCACATGGTGGATCATCCTGTGAGCCCAGCAGCTGGGGGAATGAGCAGGCCAGTCAGTGCTGCAGAGCAGGACCCTTGTCTGGGAAAAACAGAATAAAGAGCCCAACTAATGCTGAGGAAAGACTTCAGAGAAGGAGACCTGGGGGAGGAACCAGCTGTTTCAGAAAAGGATTTTAATCTCATTTGAATGCAGGCAGGAGCTTGTACTTAAGAAAGTATACATAGTGGGTGAGAACATGAACCCTTAGGCTACACCGTCTAGGGTAAACCCCATCTCTGCAGCTCATTAACAGTGCCATCTGTTTAGGCAAGTCCCATAAGATTCTATGTGCAATGTTCCCATCTAAAACCTGGGCATGGTGGCTCAGACTTGAAACCACAAGACTGGAGGAATGGAAGAAGGTAAAGGAGACGTTCAAAGCCAGCCTTAGTTTTGTTGGCGGAAGCGGCTTGTTTACTTCCCAGCCATCCAGACTCCAGAAATAATCACACAGAAACTATATTATTTGCAATACTGTTTGGCCAATAGCTTAAGCATATTGCTAGCTAGCTCTTACATCTAGAATTAACCCATTTCCATTATTTTATATTCTTACCACAAAGTTTGTGGCCTACTGGCAAGGGTCCCACATTAGGCGCCAATTTGTTAGCAGAAGCTGCTTGTTCATTTCCTGACCACCCAGACTCCCGAAATAATGACACAGAAACTATATTATTTGCAATACTCTTTGGCTAACACCTTAAGCATATTGCTAGCTAGCTCTTACATCTAGAATTAACCCATTTCCTTTATTTTATATTTTGTCATGAGGTTTGTGGCCTACCGGCAAGGTTCCACCTAGCACCTCACATCTTTCCCCTCTGACAGCTACACATTGTCTCCTTCACAACACCTACACACACTCACTCCCTCTCTCTCTCTCTCTCTCTCTCTCTCTCTCTCTCTCTATATATATATATATATATATATATATATATATATACACATACATACATACACTTTTTTTCCGGTTAAGCCATTGGCCAAAAGCAGCTTCTTTATTCACTAACTAATAAAAGCAACACATATACAAAAGGACTTCCCACACCATAGTTTCATAGCCAATCCAAACCACCCTGAGCTACATGAGACATGGCCTCAAAAAAAAAAAAAGAATGAGAATGAAAATTGTTTAGATTGAGTTGATATGTATTGGATAGAGTTACAACTAAGATTAAATACTATATTAAAATATTTCAATGTTGCCTGACACATAGTAACACAAAATATTTTTTACATTTTATTTATTGATTTACTAATGCTGGGGAGGGAACCATGGTCCTGAGTATGCTAGGTAGTGCTGTACTAGAGCCACAGGCCCGGCCATAAAAATAGTCACCATAATTATCTAAGCTGCCTTCTTTCCCATTTACACCCTATTCTTACAGATTTGCTCAAGGAAAAAGACAAACACCACATCCTAAAACTAAAGCAGGTAAAGGAAGTGTTCAGAGAAGGAAACAGACTGTGTACACTTCCGTTCTGAATCGATTTCATTGATTCATTAGTAAGTAGATCATAAAGACGCTTGTATTTCTGCATGCATGCATGCACGGTGTATGTATGTTTTTATGAGGGTGTGTACACAAGTGTAGGTAGGCTTGCATGCATGGGTCTGTGTATAGGCCAGAGAGCAGTGTGAGGTGTCTTCTTTGATTGCTCCCCACTTTGGTTTTTGAGACAGAGTCTCTCATTGAACCCAGACCACTCAGAGGGGATCTCCAAGGTGTGGATAAAAGGCAGGTGCTTCAGGAAACTCCTATTTTCAACCCAACAAATCTCACAATATTCCTTTGGGAAGAAGGAGGAGCTCAGCTCCCTCTTTAAAAATATATTGACTTCAATTTCTTTTATGTGCATGTGAGTCTGAGCATCACATGCATGCACGATGACCATGGAGGCCAGATGGCATCAGGTCCCTGGAACTGGTGTTACAGAAGGCTGTGAGCCACACTGTGGAGCTGGAAATTGAACCTGGGTCCTCAGAAAGAGGATTCAGCTCCCTTAATCAACAAGCTATCTCACTAGCCACTAATTCTATATATTGATTTATCTCCTTGTTTATTTCATTTTGTTTGTTTCTTTGTTTTATTTTATTTGAAACTAGGCTTGTAGACTAGGCTATACTGGAATTCACTATGGATCTGAGGGTGACCTTGAACTCACAGCAATCATCTTTGCCTCAGCCTTCTGAGTGAAGGAATGACAGGCATGGGCCACCAGGCCCAGCTTCAGCTACCACAGGAAAGATGGCCTTGTCTTCTCATTCAGAGGGAGGAAAGCCAACAGTTTAGAGGACACCTTACCCACTGTGAGGAGGTTTCTGTAGGTCTCCAACATCATGTCCCTGTATAAGATCCTCTGAGCAGCATCCAGGCAGGCCCACTCTTCCTGAGAGAAGACAACAGCCACATCCCTAAATGTCACTGACCCCTGAAACCACAAACACAAGTAGAGTCAAACTGGGGAAGCATTCAAGATGAAAAAAGAGAAGGGAAAGGACTCAAAGGTGGGAGGAGCCACATGGAGATGCTCAAGGCACCTGACTGCACGAGCTCCCCCAGGAAAGGAGGAGTGTGGCCTACACATCCAATAGAGGTGCACTTCCATTCCATACCCCCTACACATCCAATAGAGGTGCGCTTCCATTCCATCCCCCTACACATCCAATAGAGGTGTGCTTCCATTCCATCCCCCTACACATCAAATAGAGGTGCACTTCCATTCCATACCCCCTACACATCCAATAGAGGTGCGCTTCCATTCCATCCCCCCTACACATCCAATAGAGGTGCGCTTCCATTCCATCCCCCCTACACATCCAATAGAGGTGTGCTTTCATTCCATCCCCCTACACATCCAATAGAGGTGTGCTTCCATTCCATCCCCCCTACACATCCAATAGAGGTGCGCTTCCATTCCATCCCCCTACACATCCAATAGAGGTGCGCTTCCATTCCATCCGCAGCCTTCCAGTTACAGCACAAAAGAGAACTGTCACCAGGCTCAGTGTAAAAGACCTAAGAACCAGTGTGAGTCCCTGGGTTTGTTGTGGCATCAGGAGATAGCATAAGGATTTCATTTGGTCATCAGCATGATTTTTATAAACTATGTAAGATTTCATAAACTATGTAGGAGTGCATATTACTGGCATATTAGTTTAAGGGGTTTTTCGTAAAAACAAAAACAAGAACTTTCAAGATGGCAAATGTGTCTCAGGTCTCCCTGAACTCTGAAGACTACAGTCCCCTCCCAAACACAGCCTGGATGACCTTCCCTCTCATCCCTGAACTCTCTCTTAAAGAACCTCAAGCAGGTCATCTCGTCACACACATGCACCGAGGCCATTCACTCTCAAACCCTATGTCATCAGCCTGAAAACACCAAAGATGTCAATCAGGATCCCCAGTACAGTCAAAGGAGACCATCACCTCAACGGTCTAAAACCCCCAAGGACCCTGATTCCCTGTGGGACTGTGGCCCCTCTGCAACCACAGTCCTCCCTGACCACAGGCAGGAGAGGGCAGGTGTGCAGGAATGCACTCAGAGAAAACTGCAGAAGCAGCCGGAAACAGGCCAGACAGGAAGTGCTCTGACCTTCCAACCCTCACTGTAAGGGGCGGACGGGGCTGGAGGATTTCGGGTCCTTGGGAAGCTTCACAAGAGAAAGACAGCAAAGAGTCATCTAACCTGGAAGCCGCCTGTGTAGAGAGAGAATGTCAACTTACACAGACCACGTCCTGAGACCCAGAGCTGGCCATTCTTCTTCAGGATCTTCCCTGGGGACAGAAAGAAAGCCTTTAACTGGACTGTCACTTAATGTCCACACTGACTATGACACCATGATTTCCTTCCCAAGCATCCCCACTCACACTCCTCTCCCACGGCTCATGGCCTCCCACACACAAATCAGAAGCAGACAGGAGTCTACACAAAGCTGATTCTGTCCTAACCCCGACAACCACTGCGCAAGGGCTCAACGTGGACGTGCGGAGCATAAGCCCGTGTGCCTTGACGTTCTTCCAGAAGATGTCGGCAGAAGGGATCCCATCCTCCATCCTGAGCTCCAGCTAGCCCTAGACGGGTCCCTCCTCCTACTGTGAGCAGGTCTTCCTACTGGAACCCCACCTTCAGGGCTGACAGGCTGACAGCACCAAACTGTACGTCCTTTGGAAACTCAGGGCTGAGTGAGGCACAGCAAGGCTGGAGGGCCAGGAGCGTCTGCAGCTTCAGTTCCCATCTCTAACTACAATTGCAGGGGATTTGATACGTTCTCCTAGGCAAAACACTAATAAGTATAAAAATATATGATATATTTTTAAAGTGTCCATTATCAGAAAGAAAAGATCATATGAAAATGGGAAGGGGCATTAGTGGAGATAATGTAGATTAACACAGTCACTGCAGATAGCAATACTGTAGACTCTCAACAATTACAAACAAAACTGTCATTTAACCCATGAATCCCACTTCTGAGTAGAGATACAAAGGAAATAAAACCAGTATCTTTAAGTGACACTTACAGTCCCGCATTTATTCCAGCAGAGCTTACACAGCTGTGATACGCAACCCCACCAAGAGATGAGGAGACAAAGCAAATCAAGATTGAGGTTCACAGGCATAGTGGAAAGATATCCAACCATCTACTACAATATGGTGAGCATGGAGGAAAATGAGAGAAATGAGCTAAAGACAGAAAGAAAATGCTGGGGCTGGAGAGAAGGCTCAGCGGCTGAGAGCTGGGATGGCTTTTCCAGAGGTCAGGAGTTCAGTTCCCAGACAGCTCCCGATGCCTGTAACTCCAGTGCTGAAGATCATCTACCTATGGTTCTGTACTCAAAACCGCCCACACATAATTTTAAATAAAATAATCCTTACACCAAAAGACAAACATCTCACTCATGCAGAACCTGAAACCGTTATCTCACAGGACCAGGTACGATGGTGGGTAACGGGGTGTGAGCGGCTGAGACTGGATGTGCAACACCGTGGTTGAGAGTGGGAGATGCAGACCCGTAAGGGAGTCGGGAAGATGCTGACCAAGGACTATACACACATTTCAGCGACACAACACAAGTTCCAGATACCTCAAGCAGCACAGAGGCTATGATTAGTGGTTTTGAAAAACTCAGAGAGTAGACGTTGAGTGTGCTCACTACAAAAATATGACAGGCAGATTTAGTCATCCCCAAGGACACGAAGACTCCAAATGACCACGCTGTACACAATACGAGAAATTTCTTCTCCATGTTAAAGAAAATCTGTTCTACTTTAGTTCATTCGTTTTCATTTTGTTGTTTTGAGATGGTCACCCTGTTTTGCCCAGCTATCTGGAACCTGCTAAGTGGACTGAGCTGACCATGAACACAGCTTCTGTCTCTGAAGTGCTGACATTAAGATGCATACCATAAACCCTACCTTTCCCTTTTCTCGAGTCATTTTCTTAAAAACACAGCCAGGGATCACATTATTTCTAACACCCTCTTGTCCTACATAAAACCGAAGAGAAAGAACCCAAAAATGACCACACAAAGCAACAACGTTAGGTCCTTACTCTGCGGCTGGTACTGCACCAACAGGCTTTACAGCTGTCATTCGGAGGCACATGACAAGCCCAGAGACCCAGAGAAAGGCAGTACCCAGACTCCAACCCAGATACCACAGAGCCACATCCCCACGTTCAACCACAGCACTGCACATCTGTACCTGGCCAGTGTTACCCATTTCCACACAGCCACCCTGACAATTACTAGCTCTCAAACAGGCCATTCCTGAAATCCTCAGGAGGGAGCAGAAATTGCCTCCCACCTTCATTCGTCCCCTGCTTTGAAAACAAGGCCAACCGATGTGTGAGCAAATCGATATAGTAAATCACAGTTTAAAAGCCCGAACACAAACCTCCGAGGTTCCCACCTGTAACATCTTGGAGAAAGGGAGTGATTGTAGAGAAGACGTCAAGGGTCTCTGAAACGATCGTGTGACTATTGAGTAGAAAGGGAGGGGACATCATAAGGGGCACAATGGTGGAGGCATCAATTTACATATTCTTACCTCACTTATTGATAACTCTGTATTCTAAAACTAAAACCTCGCTTCTCAAAGAGGGAGAGAGCGCAAACTCACTCTTGAATCTCAGATGTGTAGCGATAAAGCCCGCACTCTTCTCCAGGCCCTCCTTGTGAACTCCGGCCAACGCGGGGAGCCTGAGCAAGCACGAGATCCCACACTGCACATCCTAGTGACACATCCTAGAGAGCACTGTCCTTCACCTCCCACGACACTCACGGCGGCTGGAGCGCTGAGAAAGTTACGGACTCAACAAGTAGCTGCGCTCCTAGGAGACCCCGGGAGGCGCCTCCGGGCTCAAATGCGCGCCCGCGCTCAAGTCTGGACGCAGCTCCCCTTCAGACTCCGTCCCTGACCTCTCATCACCGCAGCCTGGTACTCTGCTTCAGCCGCCGTGGCCGTGAGCGAAAGCAGGAGCAGATCCGACTGGCAGAGTGATGCAGACAATGCTCAAAGTGTACACACACGCACACGGACACGGACACACACACACACGCGTAAACGCAGACACATGCACAGACACCACCCCGCCCGCGCGCCCCGCAAGCACCCAGCCCAGTGGCTCCCGCCTTACTCGTGGAGGATTACGCCAACCAGCAATTTCTTACTCCCACCAGAGAGCTCTGACCGTCCACGGTAGTGCCTGCAGAACGCCGGAAGTTGATATTTTAGTCCAGCGCTGCAGCCCCTGGGAAATAGAGTCCCGAAGTCCAGAACTCCAGGAAGCCTAGCGCTCCGCGGGTAGGAGAAATCCCAGTATGCAACTCGGGCCTTCAGGGAGCTGAGCCCAGTGGTTTGTGGGAGTTCCCACGGGGTGCGCGCTTAAAGGGGAGGCTTCCTCGCGCGATCGAAACGTACTTCCGGGTTCCGCGGTAACTTGTCTTCTCTGTGTGGAGTCTACAGGCGAGCGTAAGATTAAAGTGCAGAACTGGAATAAAATCAGATCGAGCCATAACTGCTTTGAGTACGCTTTGCCTGAGAACTGCTGCAGAAGGATTCCACCTCGCTGTGCGATGGGAGGGTCTATGATAAATCTCAAAAGACTGAACTAGAGAATTGGTTGGCTTTAAACGTGAAGAGAAAGAGCAGGGCTACATCAGAGATTTCTGTTTGGACGCTTCCAGGGTTCAGTTGAAATTTCAAAATCACTTTTGTTGTTTCGTATATTTAAATCTTTTTTTTTTTATTAAGAATGGGATAGGAAACTAATGTCAAGATAACGGACGATCCTAGTAATAACAGTTCATATAAATGTATTATAAATTATCTAAACCTAAGTATAGAGTGTCAGGTGAGACTTGATAACAAGCAGACCCAACCATGTGTTAACTACAGAACATATGTTAAAGGCAAGTACTCTAGCAGGTTAGAGTGGTCATCCTCACAATACTCAGAAGAAGACTTGAGTCAATTTTAAAATCAAAGCAGATGGAGGACAAAGAACTTTGCCAGTGATAATAAGGAACGGCAGTTCATCTAGTGAACATAAAACTTGTGCAAATTCTTTGAGATTATGGTTTGTGTGCTGGTTTTCTTTGCTTTATGTTTAAAAACCACCTATGAGGCCGGGCGGTGGTGGCGCACGCCTTTAATCCCAGCACTCGGGAGGCAGAGGCAGGCGGATCTCTGTGAGTTCGAGACCAGCCTGGTCTACAAGAGCTAGTTCCAGGACAGGCTCCAAAGCTACAGAGAAACCCTGTCTCGAAAAACCAAAAAAAAAAAAAAAAAAAAAAAAACACCTATGAGCCTGGCGATGGTGGCGCACGCCTTTAATCCCAGCACTTGGGAGGCAGAGGCAGGCGGACATCTGTGAATTTGAGACCATCCTGGTCTACAGAGCTAGTTCCAGGATAGGCTCCAAAGCCACAGAGAAACCCTGTCTAGAAAAAACAAAACAAAACAACAAAAAAAACCCACCTATGAGTGAGTACATGTGATAATTGTCGTTCTGTGTCTGGGTTACCTCACTCAATATAATGTTTTCTAGCTCCAACCGTTTTCCTGCAAAATTCAAGCTGTCGTTATTTTTTCTGATGTGTAAATTGTGTAAAATGTACTCCATTGTGTAAATATACCACATTTTCCTTATCCATTCTTTGGTCGAGGGGCATTTAGGTTGTTTCCAGGTCCTGGCTATGACAAACAAAGCTGCTATAAACATAGTTGAGCACATGTCCTTGTGGCACAATTGAGCATCCTTTGGATAGATACCCAAAAGTGGCATTACTGGGTCTTGAGGAAGGCTGTTTCCTAATTTTCTGAGAAATCACCACACTGACACCCAAAGGGGTTGTACCAGCTTGCATTCCCACCAGCAAAGCAGAAGTGTTCCCTTTTCCCCACAACCTCTCCAGCATAAGTTGTCATCAGTGTTTTTGATCTTGGCCATTCTTTCAGGTATAAGATGGAATCTCAGAGTTGTTTTGATTTGCATTTCTCTGATGACTAAGGATATTGAACATTTTCATAAGTGTCTTTCAGCCATTTTAGATTCTTCTATTGAGAGTTCTCTGTTTAGGTCTGTACTCCATTTTTTAATTGGATTATGTGATCTTTTGGTGTCCAATTTCTTGAGTTCTTTGTATATTTTGGAGATGAGACCTCTGTCTGATGTGGGGTTGGTGAAGATCTTTTCCCATTCTGTAGGCTGTCGTTTTGTCTTGTTGACCGTGTCCTTTGCTTTACAGAAGCTTTTCAGTTCCAGGAGTCCCATTTATTTAATTGTTTCTCTCAATGTCTGTGCTGCGTGGAGTTATATTTAGAAAGTGGTTCAGTGTGGCTGGCTTTATGTTGAGGTCTTTGATCCATTTTGACTTGAGTTTTGTGCATGGTGATAGATATGGGTCTATTTTCATTCTTCTATTGTTGATATCCAGTTATGCCAGCACCATTTGTTAAATATGCTTTCTTTTTTTCATTTGATATTTTTTGCTTCTTTGACAAAAATCAGGTGTTCGAAGGAGTGTGGATTGATATCTGGGTCTTCTATTTGGTTTCATTGGTCCTCCTGTATGTTCTTATGCCAATACCAGGCTGTTTTCAGTACTGTAGCTCTGTAGTAGAGTTTGAAGTCAGGGACTGTGATACCTCCAGAAGTTCTTTTATTGTACAGGATTGTTTTGGCTATCCTGGGTTTTTGTTTTTCCATATGAAGTTGAGTACTGTTCTTTCGAGGTCTGTGAAGAATTTTGCTGGGATTTTTATAGGCATTGCATTGAATCCTGTTTACTTTCTTAAAGTTTTTTCTTTTTTATCTCCCATGAAAAAGGTTGATGTGCCTACAACTGTTAAGCCAGCTGTGCCACTCTGACCAGGAGTGGGATGAGGAACAGACACACTCTTATCATTTTTGGTCTAGGGTCCATTTTAAAATGTATTTCTCCGCCGGGCAGTGGTGGCGCACGTCTTTAATCCCAGCACTCGGGAGGCAGAGGCAGGCGGATTTCTGTGAGTTCGAGACCAGCCTGGTCTACAAGAGCTAGTTCCAGGACAGGCTCCAAAACTACATAGAAACCTTGTCTCGAAAAATCAAAAAAAAAATGTATTTCTCCTTCTTCCCCGTTATGTAAGTATACATGGGGCAGAGTGTGTACCATGATGCATAAAAGGTGTTTCTCAGTTGGAAAGCAGCGGAAGAGGCACATTTTGTCAAAATATTAGTATGTGCCAACTGAAGAGTCCAAGAATAAGATTATAGAATGAAGAAATAAAGGAGAGAATGAGGGCAGACTGTCAGCAGCTGAAGCACATTAAGGATTAACTATTAACAGTGGCTCACTTTGCTTTACAACCCATAGCTGTCTGCAAGGCTGAAGCAGCCCTCTTCAAACTGAGAGTCAGCTTTTAGATAACCTCCTCCACCCCTTTGCATTTAACTGTTCTAGTGCTCCTCTTCCTTTCATCTCTGTATTGTGGAAGCCAAAAAATGTAGGTCCATTTTTACCTTGTCTAATGGTCAGAGTTTGGAGATTTGACAAGCATAGTTGCCTGTCCTAAAGCTGGAGGTGGTTGCTTGGTTCTTTTGAAATTAAGAAAGCTCAATGCCATTCTGTCGGGTGGCCAGGATATGCAAATGTACTTCTGCTTCTTCCTTAACTATGAGGTCACCTAGGGAAGGGCAGTCTTCATCATATGTGACCTAGAGAACCTAGAGTGTGTGGCCTAGAGCACCCTCACTCCCTAGACAAGAGAACGCTAATGATTTGATGCCTTAAGCTGACTGTGTGAGTTCCCCTTGTTAAGTAGAGTTATCATGTTAAATAAAGTCTTTTCTTACCTTCTCCCCCGTTTATGTTGTGTATAAAAGCTGTGGGAAAATAAACAGGCAAATTTCAGGATTTCAGTCACTGGAACACTCTCCTGATACTTTCTATGTTTTCTATGTTATTTCTATGTGTCTTCATAGTTTTATTTATGTTTTTTTTCAATTCCCATGCCCCTACCCTGGTAAGAAATATTTTTGTTGAGGCCAGTCCTCGACACTGTATCTACACAATACACCTAATGCCACCCTACTGTGTTATGACAGAAAAGTCTTTAAGAGAAATAAACCAGGGGTTTGGATGGCCCTACGCTTAACAACACATGCTATTCTTTTTTTTTTATTGAGAAAAGGAGAAGAAAGAAAAAAAAACAAGTTTCCACCTCCTCCCAGCCTCCCATTTCCCTCCCACTCCTCCCACCCTACGCCCCCTCCTCCCACCCTTCTCCCCCTCCCTCTCTAGTCCAAAGAGCAGTCAGGGTTTTCTGCCCTGTGGTAAGACCTAGGACCTCCCACCTCCGTCCATATCTAGGAAGGTGAACATCCAAACTGGCTAGGCTCCCACAAAGCCATCACATTACATAGGATCAAACCCCCGTGCCATTGTCCTTTGCGTCTCATCAGCCCTCATTGTTCGCCATGTTCAGAGAGTCCAGTTTTATCCCATGCTTTTTCAGTCACAGTCCAGCTGGTCTTGGTGAGCTCTCAATAGATCAGCTCCACTGTCTCAGTGGGTGGGTGCATCCCTCGTGGTCCCAACTTCTTTGCTCATGTTCTCCCTCCTTCTGCTCCTCATTGGGACCTTGGGAGCTCAGTCCAGTGCTCCAGTGTGGGTCTCTGTCTCTATCTCCATCCATTCGGTTTCTCAGGAAATTCGGGATCAACCTACCCCTAGACCCAGCAATACCACTCTTGGGAATATACCCAAGAGATGCCCTATCATATGACAAAGGCATTTGTTCAACTATGTTCATAGCAGTATTATTTGTAATAGCCAGAACCTGGAAACAACCTAGATGCCCTTCAATGGAAGAATGGATGAAGAAAGTATGGAATATATACACACTAGAGTACTACGCTGCGGTAAAAAACAATGACTTCTCGAATTTTGCATGCAAATGGATGGAAATAGAAAACACTATCCTGAGTGAGGTATCCCAGACCCAAAAAGATGAACATGGGATGTACTCACTCATAATTGGTTTCTAGCCATAAATAAGGGTCACGGAGTCTACAATAGGTGAATCTAAAGAAGCTAAGTAAGAAGGGGAACCCAAGGAAAAACATATAGTTATCCTCTTGGCTAAGGGAAGTAGACAAAATTGCCCGGGAGAAAATTGGGATCTTGGGGGTGGGGTGGGATAGGGGTAAGGGGAGATGGGGAGAGAAAAGTTAGAAGGGAAGGAGGTCGGGCCTTGGGAAAACAGGAGGATTGGGATAAAGGAAGGTTGGACAGGGGAGCACGGAACCACAATTCTTAGTTAAAGGAGCCACTTTAGGGTTGGCAAGAGACCTGACCCTAGAGGGGCTCCCAGGTGCCCAAGCTGAGGTCCCCAGTTAGTTCCTTGGGCAGTTGAGGATAGGGAACCTGAAATGACCCTATCCTAGAGCAATACTGACGAATATCTTGCATATCATCATAGAACACATGCTATTCTTGCAATGAACCTGAGTTCAGATTCCAGAACCTACAGCAAATGACTCACAATTACTGGTAACTCAAGCTCCAGGCGGTCCGACAACCTCTTCTAAACTGCATATGCACCTGCACTCATAGGCACCTGCACTCATATGCACCTGCACTCATAGGCACCTGCACTCATATGCACGCACTCACAGATTTGCATGTGTACACAAAACCAAACAAAAAATAGATCTTAAATGAGTAAACCACCTCATGTTTTTAATTCCCACCAGAAAGTTTCATCTTTAAACCTTGTTGTAAACTACGTCTTTGTTCAATATAATATATATAGCCCATATCCCCAACCCCTATAACTTAATAATCTAATTTTGCCTTATCTTAGATCATCCTGAAAACCTCTTCTGTGCTGTAAACAAGAATTCAGCTCTATCCTACAGCTGATAAACACCTTTGGTAATGTGGCAGGATACAAGATCAACTCCAAAAAATCAGTTGCCTTCCTATACACTAAGGATAAGGAAGCAGAGAGGGAAATCAGAGAAGCATCACCTTTCATGATAGCCACAAATAGCATAAAATATCTTGGGGGTAACTCTGACCAAGGAAGTGAAAGATCTATTTGACAAGAACTTTAAGTCTTTGAAGAAGGAAATTGAAGAGGACACCAGAAAATGGAAGGATCTCCCTTGTTCTTGGATTGGGAGGATCAACATAGTAAAAATGGCAATTCTACCAAAAGCAATCTATAGATTCAATGCAATCCCCATCAAAATCCCATCAAAATTCTTCACAGATCTGGAGAAGACAATAATAAACTTTACATGGAAAAACAAAAAAACCCAGGATAGCCAAAACAATCTTATACAATAAAGGAACTTCTGGAGGCATTACCATCCCTGACTTCAAACTCTATTACAGAGCTACAGTATTGAAAACAGCTTGGTATTGGCATAAAAACAGAGAAGTCGACCAATGGAATCAAATAGAAGACCCTGACTTTAACCCACAAAACTATGAACACCTGATTTTCAATAAAGGAGCTAAAAGTATACAATGGAAAAAAGAGAGCATCTTCAACAAATTGTGCTGGCAAAACTGGATGTCAATCTGTAGAAGAATGAAAATAGATCCGTATCTATCACCATGCACAAAACTCAAGTCCAAATGGATTAAAGGCCTCAATATCAGTCTGAACACACTGAACCTGATAGAAGAGAAAGTGGGAAGTACTCTACAGCACATGGGTACAGGAAACCACTTCCTACGTATAACCCCAGCAGCACAGACACTAAGGGCATCACTGAATAAATGGGACCTCCAGAGACTGAGAAGCTTCTGTAAAGCAAAAGACACTGTCACTAAGACAAAAAGGCAACCCACTGACTGGGAGAAGATCTTCACCAACCCCGCAACTGGCAAAGGTCTGATCTCCAAAATATATAAAGATCTCAAGAAACTAGACCGAAAAAGGCTAATCAACCCAATTATAAAATGGGGCACTGAGCTGAACAGAGAATTCTCAACAGATGAAGTTCAAATGGCCAAAAGACACTTAAGGTCATGCTCAACTTCCTTAGTGATCAGGGAAATGCAAATCAAGACAACTTTAAGATACCATCTTACACCTGTCAGAATGGCTAAAATAAAAAACACCAATGATAGCCTTTGCTGGAGAGGTTGTGGAGAAAGGGGTACACTCATCCATTGCTGGTGGGAATGCAAACTTGTGCAACCACTTTGGAAAGCAGTGTGGCGGTTTCTCAGGAAATTCAGGATCAACCTACCCCTGGACCCAGCAATACCACTCTTGGGAATATACCCAAGAGAGGCCTTATCATACAACAAAAGTATATGCTCTACGATGTTCATAGCAGCATTGTTTGTAATAGCCAGAACCTGGAAACAACCTAGATGCCCTTCAATGGAAGAATGGATGAAGAAAGTATGGAATATATACATATTAGAGTACTACTCAGCAGTAAAAAACAAGGGCTTCTTGAATTTTGCATGCAAATGGATGGAAATAGAAAACACTATCCTGAGTGAGGTAAGCCAGACATAAAAAGAGGAGCATGGGATGTACTCACTCATATTTGGTTTCTAGCCATAAACAAAGGACTTTGAGCCTATAATTAGTGATCCTAGAGAAGCTAAATAAGGAAAACCCAAAGAAAAATATATAGGCATCCTCCTGAATATTAACCTTCATCAGGCAATGAAAGGAGACAGAGACAGAGACCCACATTGGAGCACCGGACATAAATCTCAAGGTCCAAATCAGGAGCAGATGGAGAGAGAGCACGAGCAAGGAACTCAGGACGGCGAGGGGTGAACCCACACACTGAGACAATGGGGATGTTCTATTGGGAACTCACCAAGGCCAGCTGGCCCGGGTCTGAAAAAGCATGGGATAAAACCGGACTCGCTGAACATAGCGGACAATGAGGACTACTGAGAACTCAAGAACAATGGCAATTAGTTTTTGATCCTACTGCACGTACTGGCTTTGTGGGAGCCTAGGCAGTTTGGATGCTCACCTTACTAGACCTGGATGGAGGTGGGTGATCCTTGGACTTCCCACAGGGCAGGGAACCCTGATTGCTCTTTGGGCTGACGAGGGAGGGGGACTTGACTGGGGGAGGGGGAGGAAAATGGGAGGAGGTGGCAGAAATCTTTAATAAATAATTAGTAAATAAATTAAAAAAATACAGAAACAAAAAAAAAGAAACAAACAAACAAAAAAAGAATTCAGCTCTATTTGGGAGTCCCTATGAATAATGGTCTCATCTGGCTACCAGCAGGGTAGAGTGTTATCTCCCTGATGCTGATGACAAAATGAGGCTTTTAAACTTACAAAAAATTTTAAAAACTCCTTTTTAAATTTAAGATCTTTAAGACAGATTTTATAAATACTAAGTCATTTGAAAGAAAGAAGGGTTCTAGAATTGCCAAAATACCTTCAATCTGGACAGCTGAGTCCAGCAGAATCTTAGAATAAATTTAATCAATCCTACATATCCATGGCCAATTGTTAACTATTACCATTTCTGTAACTGTGTAAGCAGGATGTAATGAATGGGAGCCAGGGTCTGGAAAAGTTACAGTATTCACTGGGGAACCAGAGATTGTTTTCACTATGATTGATGTGGTGCATACCAACAGAAACCTAGAGACCACAACTGGCACAGAAGACTCACTGACATGGAACGTGGTCCCTCGCGCCCCAAAGCTGATGAGCACATGTAGAGAGCAGCTGGGCTGGCTTTAGGTTAGTCTGAATTGTATAGAGAATCAGCTTTCTGCTATCACTGAATGGCTCCATTTTAGAAAGCAGGAAAGCTGACTCAATTACTCTACCTTGAGTTGCAAATGCCATGAAGAAATGATTCTCCACCTTACTACGTGAACAACCATCTGCCAGCACACCCGGAGGCACAAACTGGTAACTTATTTGTACCAAAATGACACCTGAACGTATCAGTTGTGGAAGATGGGATAACCTCACCTGGGACCAAGAAAAGAGCATCCCAGTACCAAAGTGTGCCAGACATGCTGCCTAGTCAGCATGTCACTCATGAGCCTCATTCTCGGGAAAACTACAAATGAAAAACATCTCCAGCTGTTTCTCCTGTCCTTGACACCCAGCTCACAAGATTGAGCCTTGGGTGATCTCTGTTCTCGATTTTTTTGTTTTGTTTTTTGTTTTTCAAGATAGGGTTTCTCTGTAGCTTTTGGAGCCTGTCCTGGAACTAGCTCTAGTAGACCAGGCTGGCCTTGAACTCACAGAGATCCACCTGCCTCCACTCCCCAAGAGCTGGGATTAAAGGTGTGCGCCACCACCGCCCAGCGCTATCTGTTCTTGAACACCTGCACTCTGTCATTTTTCTGGTCTCTCCAGACACTTCTATGGGCCTCTGTCAGCTGTGTCTGGACGTCAGCACAGCCTCTTTGAACTCTGAAACCTCTTTAGCACTATCTGAGTCATTTTGTAACCTGAATATTTGTATATTACTGTGTGATGTGTTCATGTGCAATGGAAAACTTCATATTGGTAATCAAGACCAGAATACAAGAGCGGGGCAGTGGTGGCAGCACTCAGGAAGTCAGCGGATCTCTGTGAGTCCAAGGCCAGCCTGATCTGCAGAATGAGTTCCAGGACAACCAGAAATACACAGATAAATCCTGTCTCAAAAAAAAAATGAACAAAAAAATTGGAATAAAAGAACCTGTTATTGTCAGCAACCAGCTACCAAGCAAAATTGGGATACTTGACAAATTGTAACCAGCAAGCCAAATCTTGTAAACGTATTGCTTACTCAATAACTGATATCATAGAAACACATGAATATCTTTCCACATCACACACACGACTACATAGCATATGCACAGGTCCATTTATGTTTCCACATAACACAAGCATGAACATACAGTATCTTGCAAAGTGTTAGCTTCCCTCCAGTTTATTTTGGTGGCGTGATGGCTGTTCTTGGTTGTCAACTTGACTATATCTGGAATGAACTACAGTCCAGAAATGGAGTGCGCATCTGTGAGACATCTCCTGCTTCAAGTGGGAGAATCCACTTCTAGTCCAAATCTTTCAGGTAAGAAAAAACACATCTTTGTTGCGGGGATTCTCCATGCAACTGCCCTGCCTGTTCCAGAATTCACTTTGTAGACTGAGGTAGAATATTAATTTAAGATGCATCACATTTATTTATGCTGTACAGTATTTGTTTAATGATGCAAAAATGTATTGTAATCTTTTACGTTCCATTTCTTTAACTCTGTGAAGCTGTATTAATTTTCCTGTTTAAAACACCTGATTGGTCTAATAAAGAGCTGAATGGCCAAAGCAAGGCAGGAGAAAGGATAGGAGGGGTTAGTAGGCAGAGATAATAGGAGAAATCTGGGAAGAGAAAATGAAGGAATGAAAAAAGGAGAGAACATCAGGGGCTATAAACTCCAGCTATACAGCAAGCAATAGAGTAAGAAGAAATAGAGAAAGGCAAAAGCCCAAAGGAAAAGTTTGATGGAATAATTTAAGTTAGGAAAGGCTGACAAGAAACAAGTCAAGCTAAGACCGGGCATCTGTAGGTAAGAATAAGCCTGCATATGTTTATTTGGGAACTTGTAGGAAAGCCCCCCTCCTCCTGAGAGTAAAAGAATAACCAATTACAGTAAATCAGGCTGGTTTAAACTCACAGAGAGCCACTTGCCTCTGACTCCTGAATGCTGGGATTAAGGCTGGCACCATCCTCCCTCCAGCCAATTTTGGCTATTTTTGTTAATCTTTTATGGGTCACCAGAGAAGATCATTCAGATGGTCAACTAAAAGTCTTTATTCCAACCAGCAAGGACTACACTCTGGTAGTGGGGACCTGTGTAGCTCCAAGCATTTAGAGCAAGAGACTATTAAAAGCAAAACCCACATTCTGTTATCTTGCTCAGCAGATGTAAGGGAAGGTTTTGCCTAAGCTGGCAGTTTAACAGAAGCCAAAATAAGCAGTTAGCTGCAAGGAGAGGTTTGTATATGCAGGCAGGTTAACAGAAGCCAGACTAATTAGCTGGGGAATCTTGACCTCTAGTTCCAAGAACAGAGTTTAGTAATTTTCCACAAGGTTCTCCATCAGAAGTCAAATTCTATTCACCCCCAAAATGGCTTCAGCAAGAGTAGGTGACAGAGGAGACTGCACTATCATGCCTTGTCACAAATGTATAGTTTGTCTTAATGGTGGACAGAGAGTACAAATTATAGGGTTTTAGTTTTTAAATTTTTATGTATTTAAACTCCGTTAAAAAGTCCTTATTCATCAATAGCTTTGTTTTTTAACTTCACAAAAACACCTAAGGAATGGATTCTCAACAAAAATCCTTTCATATACATTTTCAGTCACCAGACTTTATACAGAATGGAGCTTTTTAAAATTGAATAGTGGAGGAATGCGTGAGTCTTTTCTAAACTATCTGCAATACAATTTGCCTTTCGTATCAGTTACAGGAATGGCAATAAAAGCAAGAAAACCATAAAAGTCACTTTACAGAATACAGGCATGAACCAAATGCTTTTTCAAGGATTTTATATCTGTTGGACCCTGCGTCCACAATTTTGTCTGGTACTGTGCTCACCATTAATCAACTAGACAGAATGTAAAAATTGTGCCTAAACCACAGGAGCCATGGGACAAGGAAGATGCCTCAGGTAACCCTAGTTCCAATAACTGCTCTTCCTATGTTGGTTGTATAGTGTTTGGTAAATTATATTTATTAAAAAAACAAGAGTACATCAAGAACATGATGGCTACCCTATATTTCTGACATTCAAAGGTATTACCAACAGAGTATCATCTCTGAACAACAGACTTCCCACAATCTCACTCTCTAAGGCTTTCTCCTCATCAAAAATACATGAATACTTTGATGTTGACCAAATCTTAGGGCACATTCTTTTTAGTCACAGTCTTGCCAATGAGTACTCTGATGTTCAGTAAAATTTCCATATAAAAGACTTGTCCGCCTTCCTTACATGCATAGGACTTCTGATGATGCTGTGTAAGCTCATCATTCACAATAAGGCTTTCCTACATTCTTCATATTCACAGGGTTTCAGGTCTAGAAGGGCTCTCTGATGAGATTTAAGAGCTAATTCTATAAATGTTCCCACAGTTCTTGAATTCACAGGATTTTACACCAGCATGGATTCTTTATGTTGAAGAAGGTCTAAGCTCAAATTGAAGGTTTTTCCACATTCTTTACAGTGACAAAGAGTTTTATATCAGTATGAATTCTCCACGGTGTAGTAACAGCTGAACTAAATATAAATATTTTCTGAAATTTCTTATATTCATATGGTTTTTCATAATGAACTCTCCAATATACAATATACAGCTATCTTAGAATTACCGAAGGCCTTCTCATTCCTTACATGATAAGGCTTCTTACTATTATGAATTTTAGCATGTCAAACCAAGCTTGATTGTCACCAAAGGGCTTCTCACATTAACACTGGAAAGGTTTCCCACCAGTGTGAATTTTCTGATGTACTTTAAGGTCTCCACCACGAGTAAAGAACTTCCCACACTGTGTACATTCATAAGGATTCTTGCCAGTATGAATTCTAAAATGTCCAAGAAATTGGTAATGATACTGAAAGGCTTCTCCACATTCCTTACATTGAAAGGGCTTCTCACCAGTATGGATTCTCTCATGAATCCTAAGGCCTGTACCACGAATAAAGCCCTTTCCACATTCCTTGCACTCAAAAGGTTTTACATCAGTATGAATTCTCTGATGTTGTGTAAGTTGGTACTGAAGTCTGAAAGCTGACCCACACTGTTCGCATGCAAATGATTTCTCTCCAGTATGAATACTCTGGTGCCGAGTGAGCTGTGCCAGAACAGTGAAGGCCTTTCCACACTTCTTACACTGAAAGGGTCTCTCACCAGAGTGAATTTTCTGATGTTGCATGAGGTTTGAGCGACGGTTAAAGGCTTTCCCACACTCTTTACATTCATATGGCTTCACACCAGCATGAATAATTCTATGTTCAACAAGGCTGGAGACACGCTTGAAGGACTTCCCACATTCCTCACATTCAAAAGGTGTTTGAACTGTATGAATGGTTTTATGGTAATTAAGCTGGCTGGAAAAATGAAAAGTCTTTCCACATTCTTTACACTCAAAAGGTCTCTCACCACTATGAAATCTTTGATGTCGAATGAGATGTATATTAAGTCTAAAGACTTTCCCACATTCCTTACACTCAAATGGTTTCTTTCCAGTGTGAATACTCTGATGCTCAGTAAAATTTGAACGTCGACGGAAGTGTTTCCCACATTCCTTGCATTGATAGGGTTTCACATCAGTATGGATTCTCAGATGTTCACTAAGTTGGTACTTACGTCTGAAGGCTGACCCACACAGCTTGCACTTAAAAGGTTTCTCATCAGTGTGAGTTTTCTGATGTTCAGAAAGATACAGGTGAAGCCTAAAAGCCTTCCCACAGACATTACATTCAAAGGGTTTCTCACTGGTATGAACACTGTGGTGTCGTGCAAGGTATGAGCCACTACTGAATATCTTGCCACACTGCTGACATTCAAATGATTTCTCTCTAGTATGAATGTTCTGGTGCCGAGTGAGCTGTGCCAGAATAGTGAAGGCTTTTCCACACTCCTTACACTGAAAGGGTCTCTCACCAGAGTGAATTTTCTGATGTTGCATGAGGTTTGAGCGACGGTTAAAGGCTTTCCCACACTCTTTACATTCATATGGCTTCACACCAGCATGAATAATTCTGTGTTGAAAAAGAGTGGAGACACGATTGAAGGACTTCCCGCATTCCTCACATTCAAATGGTTTCGTACCTGTATGAATGGTTTTATGGTACTTAAGCAGGTTGGGAAGATGAAAGGCCTTTCCACACTCATCACATTCAAAAGGTCTCTCACCACTGTGAGACTTCTGATGTCTTGTAAGTTGTTGGTGGAGTCTGAAGGCTTTTCCACACTCCTTACATTCATAGGCTTTTTCTCTGTTGTGAGTAAGAGTCTGGCAGGTGTAAGCAGGCAGTTTTTCCTTGTTACTAATCTTTATATCAGCATCTCCTTGATAACTCTGTAGTCTCTTGAATGCATTATAGTTGGGACCATGACTAAAACTGGAGCCCTGGAGATCAAGAGATTTATTTAATTGCTGCATGCTCTGATTGGGCAGATTTATATTATAAATATGGCTTTCTGGAGATATAGTTTCAGCTTCATAACATGACTCCATATCTGAAAGAGAGAATAAAGCAAAAATACATTATTTCTCTACAACGCACACACACTCCATTAAATGAATGGCCACACTCAAACATATTTTCTGATAAGCTGAGCAGGAACAAGGAGAACAGCAATCACAAAAGGCAGAAGTAGGACAGGTTAGAAATGGGAAGGCATATTTGCTTAACAAGATTATAAGTAACTAGTGTGAACTAATTTTGCATGTCTTTCTATACTACTAGAAACACATACCCTGCAATGAAGGTTTTTGAAGCTGAGGATATGTAAAAGTCAACCCCAATCTGATGGCACTGTGTTATTATTGCCTGCTCAAAAATGAACTGTTGTATCCCAGTCCTTAGTGTTCAGATGTTACTAATAACTTACACAGGTCCCCTGTGATGGCTAAAGAAACAATATGGAGACAGACATCCCTTAAAGGGTCACCGACCTTCTGCTCTGGAATACCTGGGAGATCCTAGTGACCTGCAAGTGAGATAACAGGAAACTGGGCCAGGAAATGTTAACCCTTGCTTTTGCTTCTGGAAAATTTGTGTATCTCTCAGAAAACAAACCAAATAAGAAACAAAACAAAATAATTACTTGCATATGGCTGTGGAATAGAGGTAAGATGGTCTTTTCTTACTAGATAGCAGGAAACAAAGAAACAACTGAGGGAAGTACAACAATGTCCCTGCCCAGCTGTGGAATCCAGATAGTAGTAATGCACGCCTTTCTGATGTCTGCTTTAAAACCCCACCCTACCACGCGTGTGCACAGCATGCTACTCTATTCTAAGGCTGCAATCCTTCTGCTAGTAGTGGAATGCATCCATACAATCTAAATTTGAATAGGCTCTAAGTCTTTGGTCTTTCCCAATGGATTTGAATGTCACAATACACCAAACCAAGGGGGCGGGGGGGGGGAAGTATACCACAAAAAATATATATCTGTCATGACAAGGAAACTGGTTTGGACTTGGAATTCTTTTTGTTTGCTTGGTTTTTTTTTTTTTTGGTTTTTTTTTTTTGAGACAGGGATTTTCTGTATAATCAGGGCTGTCTGAGAACTCACTCTGTAGACCAGGTTTTCCTGGAACTCAGAGATCCACTGTCCTCTGCCTCTTGAGTGCTGGTATTAAAGAAGTGCACCACTAACTCCTGCACTGGACTTGGAATTCTTAAAAATTAAAAGGGGGTATTAATATGTAGTGGTATTGGTAGACAACTGTAATCCCAGCAACAAGGAGTCATAGGTAACAGGGCCATGAATCTTGGGCCGTCTTGGGTTAGACTGTGAGACACTGTTTGAGAAAAACAAAAACAAGCTAAAAAGAAAAAAAAATGGGGAGAGAATTCATTACAATTTTAAAGAACACTAAGGAACTGCAGTCAGGGAAGAAGGTACGCTAAGTGCAGATCTTTACCTATCCCGCCTATCCACCAATTCCAACTTCCGAGTCTCATCCCTAGCTCAGTAGCAGAGCACCTCCCACAGATGTCGTGGAATGGATATGTAGGTTCCCGTGGGCCACTGAAATAAAGGCTAGAGACACTTGAGAATTGACTTAGCCTTTTGAGGCCACAGGGACTCTTTCACAGACTGCAGCACTTTCCCTTCGCCCAGGGCATTTTCATCTTTTCCCATATGTACAGTTCAGCCAGCTGGTTTCCATATGCTCAAAACAACCCGAATGAAGCTTTCAAAAGTACAATGCCAAACGCAAATGGCTGATTCAGGGGTACCATAGTTTTCCAGGTTGCCCCTAACCAAGTTCTGCATAGGCTTTGTATACTTGGGAAACTCTCAGACAAGATTCACATAGGGCAACAAAAGGTACCTGTAACACAAAGGATGGACTAGGGCTAGGTGCTAACTCTCTGGTGCAAGGCCGGCAGGAAATTCTGCAACACCACCTGCTCTGGACTCCCCTTCATTCCCGCCCTGATCTCCAGTCAATCACGCAGATCGACACTTCCCAATTTTCTTGTTCCCACTGCTTTACCCCAACTCCCAATCCGACAGGCATTCTCTGGAAACCAAAAGGTCACTCTAGTGACAGGCAGACTAACTACAGATCTTCACCTCTCCCTCTATTCCGCCAAATCCAATCCCCAGTCTCATCTCCAAATCTGTAGTCGACTATCTGCTGTGGCCTCTCCTAACTCTCCTTTCCTATTCCCCAGGGGGCTAAGAAGATCCTAGTGGAACACGTGCTTTCTCCCTCTTGTAGTCCCATCCAACACCACCTACCTAGTCTATCCAGCTCCCCAGACATTTCACCTGGAGCCCCAGTGGCCATACCTATGCACAGGGTCTGCCCACCCAAGCGGTGCCAGGTGCTTTCTGCATAAGTTTATCAGGGCCTCCAGTTTAGTGTTGGTGTAAACAAGCATGTTTCTGTTTCTTGTGCCTTCTCTTGGGTGGTATCTATTCTATTTGTTTATTTTGCCAACTCCAATGTGTTAGTTTTGTTTTAGCCTACTTTATTTTATTATATTGTATTTTATTACTATCCCTTAGAAGCATGCATGTTTTCCAAGAAGAGAGAAATGGAGTAGATCCAGATAGGAGGTGAAGTGGGGAGGAACTGGGAGGAGCAGAGGGAGGTGAAGCCAAAGGCAGCATATAATCTGTGGGGGAATCTATCCTAATAAAGGGGGGAATGCACGTGGGTTCTGGGGCTGATCTGTCTCTCACTTGTACTATGTACACGGTTAACCATGTTTAACCATGTGAGGGGATGGAAAACACGCTGTTTTCACTGTTTGTTCTGTATCCACTGGAGTTGTCCACTGGGAAACAGAACGGAACCACACTGTAATTCCGATATTGTCTGGAAATATAAGCTTCAGAAAAAAGTATACAGTAGAAAGAACACAGAAAACATAGAAGAATAGAGAATAAAGAAAAGTCATCAAGACACAGTGTGACTATAATTTTCCCTTAACTCTCTAAGATTAAAAAAAAAGTGCTGCTGGAGGCTGGGTCCCATCCCCCCCCCAACCCGCCAGGCAGTTATACACTCTCTTTTGCCTGGAGCTTGTCAAGTAAACTAGGTGGAGTTGCCAGGAAAACAAGAGATCTGCCTCTTCCACCTCCCCAGAGCAGCAGTGAAAGCATAGGCTACACCATCACACCTTGTTCAGAGGGTCTATGAAGACACAGAATTAGATTGTTTGCTATGCCTCACAGTTTACTGCATTCACTGGTGCTCAAAGTATCTTACTATTGGATCAGCAGTCAAAAGCACTGACTGCTCTTCCAGAGGACCTGGGTTCAAGTACCAGCCCCAGGGGATCTGACGCTCTCTTATGGCCCCTTTGGGTACCTGCACACACACAACCAATAATAAAATACATTTAAAATGACACAAAGAGGGTAACTGCTCCAGTATGATGGAAGAGGGGAGAACAACTTAGACTCATGAACTAGCAGCCCCTGTGGCAGCTTTAGCTATGACCTTGACTTCCTTCCCAGGTCTCAGGCACGTTCTTCCACAGGCCCTGGCGCCCTGAAGGGAGTGTGTCAACCCCGGGTCAGGCATGGGGACCTCTCCGACCACACGATGAGATGGCAATGCTGCAGCCCTGCCTTCCTCTTACTCACCTGGGCTGGGCCTGTCTGCTTCTTCCGTCACAGCCATCCAGGGCTCTCTCTCCTGCTCCAATAAGGTGATCAGATCGGGTTTGGAAATGGAACTTCCCACTTAAAGAAAGGAAAAATGACATATGTGGAAACTTTCCTTTTTTTGAGAGTTGGTCTCCAATTATCCCACGATGTCCTGGAACTCAATATGTAGACCAGGCTGGCTTTGAACTTACTCATCTGCCTGCCTCTGCCTCCTAAATGCTGAGATGAAGGGTGTGTGGCACAATGAGCTGCCAGTATGGATTTTTAAAGATGCAGACGTATTTATTATAAAGTTCTATATGGGCTCACATGGTGGATCATCCTGTGAGCCCAGCAGCTGGGGGAATGAGCAGGCCAGTCAGTGCTGCAGAGCAGGACCCTTGTCTGGGAAAAACAGAATAAAGAGCCCAACTAATGCTGAGGAAAGACTTCAGAGAAGGAGACCTCGGAGAGGAACCAGCTGTTTCAGAAAAGGGTTTTAATCTCATTTGAATGCAGGCAGGAGCTTGTACTTAAAAGGAAAGTATACATAGTGGGTGAGAACACGAACCCTTAGGCTACACCGTCTAGGGTAAACCCCATCTCTGCAGCTCACTAACAGTGCCATCTGTTTAGGCAAGTCCCATAAGATTCTATGTGCACTGTTCCCATCTAAAACCTGGGCATGGTGGCTCAGACTTGAAACCACAAGACTTGAGGAATGGAAGAAGGTAAAGGAGACGTTCAAAGCCAGCCTTAGTTTTGTTGGCGGAAGCGGCTTGTTTACTTCCCAGCCATCCAGGCTCCCGAAATAATCACACAGAAACTATATTATTTGCAATACTGTTTGGCCAATAGCTTAAGAGTATTGCTAGTTGGCTCTTACATCTAGAATTAACCCATTTCCATTATTTTATATTCTTACCACAAAGTTTGTGGCCTACCGGCAAGGTTCCCACATTGGACACCAATTTGTTAGCAGAAGCTGCTTGTTCATTTCCTGGCCACCCAGACTCCCGAAATAATCACACAGAAACTACATTATTTGCAATACTCTTTGGCCAATAGCTTAAGTGTATTGCTAGCTAGCTCTTACATCTAGAATTAACCCATTTCTATTATTTTATATTTTGTCATGAGGTTTGTGGCCTGCCGGCAAGGTTCCACCTAACACCTCGTGTCTTTCCCCTCTGGCCGCTACACATTGTCTCCTTGACAACACTTTCTCTCTCTCTCTCCCTCCCTCTCTCTCTCTCTCTCTCTCTCTCTCTCTCTCTCTCCATACACACACACACACACACACACACACACACACACACACACACGTATTTTTTTTCTGTTAAGCCATTGGCCAAAAGCAGCTTCTTTATTCACTAACTAATAAAAGCAACACATATACAAAAGGACTTCCCACACCATAGTTTCATAGCCAATCCAAACCACCCTGAGCTACATGAGACATGGCCTCAAAAAAAAAAAAAATAATAAGAATGAAAATTATTTAGTTTGAGTTGATGATATGTATTGGATAGGGTTACTACTAAGATTAAATACTATATTAAAATATTTCAATGTTGCCTGACACATAGTAACACAAAATATTTTTTACATTTTATTTATTGATTTACTAATGGTAGGGAGGGAACCATGGTCCTGAGTATGCTAGGTAGTGCTGTACTAGAGCCACAGGCCCGGCCATAAAAATAGTCACCATAATTATCTATGCTGCCTTCTTTCCCATTTACACCCTATTCTTACAGATTTGCTCAAGGAAAAAGACAAACACCACATTCTAAAACTAAAGCAGGTAAAGGAAGTGTTCAGAGAAGGAAACAGACTGTGTATACTTCTGTTCTGAATCGATTTCATTGATTCATTGGTAAGTAGATCATAAAGACGCTTGTATTTCTGCATGCATGCATGCACGGTGTATGTATGTTTTTATGAGGGTGTCTATACAAGTGTGGGTAGGCATGCATGCATGGGTCTGTGTATAGGTATGTCTGAGCATCACATGCATGCACGATCACCATGGAGGCCAGATGGCATCAGGTCCCTGGAACTGGTGTTACAGAAGGCTGTGAGCCACACTGTGGAGCTGGAAATTGAACCTGGGTCCTCAGAAAGAGGATTCAGCTCCCTTAATCAACAAGCTATCTCACTAGCCACTAATTCTATATATTGATTTATCTCCTTATTTATTTCATTTTGTTTGTTTCTTTGTTTTATTTTATTTGAAACAAGGCTTGTAGACTAGGCTATACTGGAATTCACTATGGATCTGAGGGTGACCTTGAACTCACAGCAATCATCTTTGCCTCAGCCTTCTGAGTGAAGGAATGACAGGCATGGGCCACCAGGCCCAGCTTCAGCTACCACAGGAAAGATGGGCCTGTCTTCTCATTCAGAGGGAGGAAAGCCAACAGTTTAGAGGACACCTTACCCACTGTGAGGAGGTTTCTGTAGGTCTCCAACATCATGTCCCTGTATAAGACCCTCTGAGCAGCATCCAGGCAGGCCCATTCCTCCTGAGAGAAGTCAACAGCCACATCCCTAAATGTCACTGACCCCTGAAACCACAAACACAAGTAGAGTCAAACTGGGGAAGCATTCAAGATGAAAAAAGAGAAGGGAAAGGACTCAAGAGTGGGAAGGAGCCACATGGAGATGCTCAAGGCACCTGACTGCACGAGCTCCCCCAGGAAAGGAGGAGTGTGGCCTACACATCCATTAGAGGTGGGCTTCCATTCCATCCCCCCTACACATCCAATAGAGGTGTGCTTCCATTCCATCCCCTTACACATCCAATAGAGGTGTGCTTCCATTCCATCCCCCCTACACATCCAATAGAGGTGTGCTTCCATTCCATCCCCCCTACACATCCAATAGAGGTGCGCTTCCATTCCATCCCCCTACACATCCAATAGAGGTGTGCTTCCATTCCATCCCCCTACACATCCATTAGAGGTGCACTTCCATTCCATCCACAGCCTTCCAGTTATTCATAGAATAAAAGGGTAGACTATTGAATCTACTCTGAAAAGAAAAATGGGAGGATACAGATATAATAAGATAAAAAGGAAGATTATTGAATTTACTTTTAAAAAGCAACTACTAGTTTTAAATGTTTTACACGGGATTTGGACTTTTATACATTGAATTCAAATTTTTTATATTGAGCTTAATTTTGTTAGAACATAATGTACATATACATTTCTACTCCTGTTCAAGGTACTGTACCAATAAAAATCATTTAGCAATGTAATGTAAATTTCTAGTACTTAAAGTTATTATTATCAACTGTTTAGGATAATAAGGAAATGCAGGTTAGTAGTCAATCACTTATTATAATCAAACTTGTAGTCACATTAGATATGTTTTCAAGATCAAACAAAGATATATTTTAGATAGACAGGTCATCTTGAAACACTTCAGAGATCTACAGATTATGGCATTTAAGATGTTTTAATAATCTAGGTTCTTCTTTTTTGACAATGAGACATGTCTGTTCCTGGCAGCACCAATCTACTTCAGAGAAGATAATGGGCATTGAAGAAGTGTCACATGGAGTTTACTTTCTTTGTGGCAAAAGTAAGTTGCTAGGCAATAAAATGCCCTTGACGCTGACAATATGCCTGTCCTAATTGGACAAGCAGGACACAAAAGATAGTGACTGCCAAACATTGTCAAGACAAGGAGGCACAGCCCTTGAGAATATCCTGCTTCCCAGAAAAGTCTGTTGGATATACTAGGCCTGTAGGCCGAAGATGGACGCCCCAACATTGCAGAGGAACTGTGGGTGACTGTCCAGGCAGCCAGCTGTTTGTCATTTCTCACAATTTTTGGAAGTCACTTGCTTGCTCTTCCTGCTTACTCAGTTAATATTATTTTCTTCTCAGGTCTCTGAGGGAGTTAAAGACTAGATAGTTATAGTTTTCCTTGTTTACCAGATGCAGAAAACAAGTTATGATACAAAGTAAATTAGGTACAAGACTTTGGACTCATCAAGAGAGGACAGACATGTAGTATTTTCTTTGAATATGTCAAATGTAACTGGGCTAGACATTGTAGATGTATTTATTGCCTGTATGTATTATAGACAACTATAGTAATTATTGTATATAGTTTTTCCTAGTTATAGTCATTTTATTTTTGACAAAAAAGGAGAAATATAGTGATATTTTATATTTTAATAAATAAAGCCTGCCTAAAGATCAGAAGGGCAAAGTTAAGCCACTAGAGGTCAGGTAGTAGTGGCACACACCTTTAATCCCAGGATTTGGGAGTCAGATGGATCTCTGTGAGTTCAATGCCACCCTGGGCTACACAAAGTCAATACAGAAACAGATCCAGGTGGTGGTGGCTCACAGATGGGGAATCTTTGTCAGCCAATGATCTTTAAGGGGTGGGATGAGGTTAAGATGTGACTTTTGGGTAACAGGAGAACTAACTCTTTCTCTCTCTCTCTCTCTCTCTCTCTCTCTCTCTCTCTCCCCTCCCCCCAGTGGTCCATGCTCTACAAAGCTGAGCTTGGACTTCTTGTTCCTGTTTTGTGAGTTTGTCCCTTAAAATAAAGTTAAATATATTTGATCTATCTTTTAGCTAGCCTGGTTTTTTCTTGATCCGAGATAATTCAACAGTACACATTTAATCCCAGTCCTAGGGAGTCACACACCTTTAATCCCAGCACTAGAGAGAATACAAAATGGGAGGAGAGAGGTTTAGCCTGTTTAGTTTGTGATCGCCCAGCCTTGGTACATGTAAGACTTCTCTAGTGGCTTGGCTGCTTTGCTTTTCTGGTTTTCAGGTTCAACCCTAATTTCTGTCTCTGGGTTTTTAAATTCCTGCTACAAGTTATACTGCACAAGACAGAACTGTCACCCAGGATCAGTGTAAAATACCCAAGTTTATTACCATATCAGAAGAATTTTTGTAAACTACGTAAGAGTCCATATTGCTGGTATAATAGGTTTAACCTTTTTGTCCTTTTAGAAAAAAACTAAGACCTTCAAGATGGCACATGTGTCTCAGGTCTTCCTGAACTCTGAAGACTACAGTCCTGTCCCAATCACAGCCTGGATGACCTTCCCTCTCATCCCTGAACTCTCTCTTAATGTCCCTCAAGCAGGTCACCTCGTCACACACATGCACCGAGGCCATTCACTCTCAAACCCTGTGTCATCAGCCTGAAAACACCAAAGATGTCAATCAGGATCCCCAGTGCACTCAAAGGAGACCATCACCTCAACGGTCTAAAACCCCAAAGACCGTGATTCCCTGTGGGACTGTGGCCCCTCTGCAACCACAGTCCTCCCTGACCACAGGCAGGAGAGGGCAGGTGTGCAGGAATGCACTCAGAGAAAACTGCAGAAGCAGCCGGAAACAGGCCAGACAGGAAGTGCTCTGACCTTCCAACCCTCACTGTAAGGGGCGGACAGGGCTGGAGGATTTCAGGTCCTTGGGAAGCTTCACAAGAGAAAGACAGCAAAGAGTCATCTAACCTGGAAGCCGCCTGTGTAGAGAGAGAATGTCAACTTACACAGACCACGTCCTGAGACCCAGAGCTGGCCATTCTTCCTCAGGATCCTCCCTGGGGACAGAAAGAAAGCCTTTAACTGGACTGTCACTTAATGTCCACACTGACTATGACACCGTGATTTCCTTCCCAAGCATCCCCACTCACACTCCTGCCCCACGGCTCATGGCCTCCCACACACAAATCAGAAGCAGACAGGAGTCTACACAAAGCCAATTCTGTCCTAACCCCGACAATCACTGCGCAAGGGCTCAACGTGGACGTGTGGAGCATAAACCCGTGTGCCTTGACGTTCTTCCAGAAGATGTCGGCAGAAGGGATCCCATCCTCCATCCTGAGCTCCAGCTAGCCCTAGACGGGTCCCTCCTCCTACTGTGAGCAGGTCTTCCTACTGGGACCCCACCTTCAGGGCTGACAGGCTGATAGCACCAAACTGTATGTCCTTTGGAAACTCAGGGCTGAGTGAGGCACAGCAAGGCTGGAGGGCCAGGAGGTCTGCAGTGCAATCCTCAGGCAGTGTTCAGCAGTCTGGACCCACTTTTAGTAAATGGAATCCTACACCATGGAGCACTTTCCTGAGAACCTTCACTCTCTATGGTCATGGCTTATGTTGTACCAATAACCATGAATCCTGACGAAGATAATTAGCTGAAAAACATGTTATCAGAGGACATGAATGTGAATTGTTCCCCATTTTCAATAATTATGAGATATTTTACACACACACAAGAAATTCAAGATGTCATAAGTCTTTAAATTCTAGAATTCAGTTTCTCAACCTCACCGTACTGACACAATGATTGTGTGTTGGGCTGGGAGGACTATCTCGTACTGAGACAATGATTGTGTGTTGGGCTGGGAGGACTATCCTGTGCTGACACAATGATTGTGTGTTGGGGTGGGAGGACTATCCTGTTCTGACACAATGATTGTGTGTTGGGCTGGGAGGACTATCCTGTGCTGACACAATGATTGTGTGGTGGGCTGGGAGGACTATCTCGTGCTGACACAATGATTGTGTGTTGGGCTGGGAGGACTATCCTGTACTGAGACAATGATTGTGTGTTGGGCTGGGAGGACTATCCTGTGCTGACACAATGATTGTGTGGTGGGCTGGGAGGACTATCCTGTGCTCTGTACAGTGTTCAGCCGCATTCAAGCTGTACTCACAAGATCTGCACAACACACACAGCCTCAAACTCCCTAAAATGCTGGCCTAGGGAAGAGCATTACGAAATGGGGAATGAGTGCTCTAGTTCTACAGGTTTTTTCCATATCCTTTTGGATGTTTGTTTAATTGTTTGGGGCAGAGCACTGTATATTGACTGTCCTCAACTCTTACTCCTTCCTCCAACTCCCATGCTGAGATTGCAGCCATACACCACCATGTCCAGCTCTCAAGTACACATGTGGTAATATAATGAAATCATACATTTTTTATCTCCCCACAAAATTCATATACAAATTTTCATTTTATCTTTCCTTCCCGCGTGCCTCTGCATATAGCAAGCTAGCTAGCCTTTCAGGGTACTCTTGGCTCCACCTCCTGTCTTGCAATAGAAGGCTGGGGTTAGACCTGTCTCTGGCCCCACATAGTTTCATGCCTGAGCACCGTACACAGTGAGCCATCGCCCCAGCCCCCACTGATACATTTCTCTGATAGTTTAGTGTGTGACCTCATGACCTTTATGACTGTGCTTCATTAAGTGTGTGACCCCAAAGGCCACAAATAAAAGTACAGGAAGTCCTGCTGGATGTGGTAGCATAAGTCTATATTGCCAGCACTGGGGAGGCAAAAGGCATGAGGCTTGTTCACAGTTCCAGGAGTTCTAGGCCAGCCTCTTTAGTGAGTGGTGCTGGCAAAACTGAATATTACCATTCAGGAGAACGACACTGGACCTTTAGTGACACCACATGCAAAGTCAACTCAAAACAGATCAGAATTGAAGAACTGAAACTAAAACTACTAGAAAAATATAGAGAGGAAAGTCTCCATGATACTGGACTACTAGAAAAATACACAGAGAAAAGCCTCTATGACACTGGACTATAGAAAAATACAGAGAGGAAAGTCTCCATGACAGTGGATGTTTTGGGCATTACTACAAAACACAAGCGACAAGAGCAAAACGGACAAATGGGATTAATATCAAACTAAAAGCTTTGCACAGCAGACGGAACTATGATCTAGATAATGGAGAAAAAGGGAGAAAGTATTTTCAAATTACACATCTGACGCGCAGTTAACATCTAAACTCCAACACGGTGACGTTGACTTTTTAAGGAATGCAGACAATTCAGTGACAAGGACACATGCTACTTAAGAAATAGGCAAACGTACAAAAATGACATTTCCTCCCCTGGAACACCAATGTGACCTACTAATGGTACATGAAAAATAAGCATAGGTACACATTTGAGAGGCCTCCTCGAGACAGAAAAAGTATCAGTTACCAGTGGGCTGGAGAAAGAGATGGACCAGTGGTATAGAGTATTTCATACTCTTGCAGAGGATGTGGGTTCGATTCCCAGCACCCCGGTGGTGACTCACAACCATCCCTAACTCCACTTTCAGGAGATCTGACACCGTCTTCTGGCCTCCACGGCACCAGGCAAGTATATGCTACACGTCAGTTGTCTAGGGAAAACACGCACAAATATGAAAAAAAAACTAAATAAAAATTTTAAAGTGACCATATCAGCAAGATAGCATAATGAGTACAATGATGTGGAAAAAGCACATTATTGGAGGAAATGCAAATTAATACAGTCATTGTAGAAAACAGCATGCTGTAGGCCAAAACAATTATGAATAAAACTTACAAACAGTCCATGGATGACACAAGGGAAATACAATCAGTGTCTCTAAGTGACACTTACAGTCCCGCATGTATTCCTGCAGAGCTTACACAGCTGTGATTCGCAACCCAACCAAGAGATGAGTGGACAAAGCAAATCGAGATTGAGGTTCACAGACGCAGTGGAAAGATATCCAACCATTTACTACATTATGGTGAGCATGGAGGAACATGAGAGAAATAAGCTAAAGACAAAAAGAAAATGCTGGGGCTGGAGAGAAGGCTCAGCGGCTGAGAGCTGGGATGGCTTTTCCAGAGGTCAGAAGTTCAGTTCCCTAACAGCTCCCGATGCCTGTAACTCCAGCTCCTGTAGATCCTAACCATCTGGTCTCTGCGGGCACCAGTGCTCATGTGCACATAACCCCACCCGCAGAATTCTAAATAATAACTAACCTTTAAACCAAAAAACACCACCATCTCCATGCAGAACCTGAAACCGTTATCTCACAGGACCAGGTACGATGGTGGGTAACGGGGTGTGAGCGGCTGAGGCTGGATGTGCAACACCATGGTTGAGAGTGGGAGATGCAGACCCGTAAGGGAGTCGGGAAGACGCTGACCAAGGACTACACAATTTCAGCGACACAACACAAGTTCCAGATACCTCATGCAGCACAGAGGCTATGGCAAGGGGTTTTGAAAAACTCGGAGAGTAGACGTTCAGTGTGCTCACTACAAAAATATGACAGGCAGATTTAGTCATCCCAAAGGACACGAAGACTCCAAATGACCATGCTGGACACAATACGAGAAATTTCATCTAAAAAAAAAAACTATTCTACGTTAGTTCATTTTCTTTACCTTGTTATTGGTTTTGAGACCGGGTTTACTGTGTAGCCCAGCCAGGCTGGAACTGACCGTACGGCTAAAATGACCATGAAATACAGACATTCACCTGCTTTTGCCTCTCAGGTACTCATTTTAAGTGTACACCACAAAGCTTACCTTTTATTAGCCATTTTCATAAAAATACAGGCAGTAATCCCATTATTTCTAACACGCCCTCGTACTGCAGAAAACTGAAGAGAATGAACTCAAACGACCACAGAGCGCGACAACTAAACACATTGGGTCCTTACTCTGCGGCTGGCACTGCACCAACAGGCTTTACAGCTGTCATTCGGAGGCACATGACAAGCCTAGGGACCCAGAGAAAGGCAGAACCAAGACTCTGAGATACCACAGAGCCGCATCCCCACATTCAACCACAGCACTGCACAACTCAATCGGGCCAATATTACCCATTTCCATACACAGACACCCTGACAATTACTAGGTCTCAAAGACGGCAAATTTTGTGCTGTCCCTTTCCCATTCCTGAAATCCTCAGGAGGGAGCAGAAATCGCCTACCACCTCCATTCTTCCCTGCTTTGAAAGCAAGGCCTTAAAAGATCAAAGGCCACCCAAATGTGATGTCATCGAAACAGCGATTTAGCAAATCAGGGATTGAAAGCGCTAACGCTAACCTCTGAAGGTTGTTGTTTTTTTAAATTTTTAAAAATATTTATTTACTTATTTTGTTTACAGTGTTCTGTATACAAGTATACCTGCAGGCCAGAAGAGGGCACCCGATTTCATTACAGATGGTTGTGAGCCACTATGTGGTTGCTGGGAATTGAACTCAGGACCTCCGAAAGAGCAGTCAGTACTCTTAACCTCTAAACCATCTCTCCAGCCTGACTCTGAAGGTTCTTATAACCTCTTGGAGAAAGGGAGTGATTGTAGAGAGATGTCAAGGGTCTCCGAAACGATCATGTGACTATTAAGTGGAAAGGGAGGGGACAATGTAAGGGGCACAATGGTGGAGGCATCAATATACCTATTCCTACCTCACTTACTGACAATTCTATATTCTAAAACTAAAACCTCGTTTCTCAAAGAGGGAGAGAGCGCAAACTCACTCTTGAATCTCAGATGTGTAGCGATAAAGCCCGCACTCTTCTCCAGGCCCTCCTTGTGAACTCCGGCCGACGCGGGGAGCCTGAGCAAGCACGGGATCCCACACTGCACATCCTAGTGACACATCCTAGAGAGCACTGTCCTTCACCTCCCACGACACTCACAGCGGCTGGAGCGCTGAGAAAGTTACGGACTCAACAAGTAGCTGCGCTCCTAGGCGACCCCGGGAGGCGCCTCCGGGCTCAAATGCGCGCCCGCGCTCAAGTCTGGACCTCAGGGGCAGCTCCCATTCAGACTCCGTCCCTGACCTCTCATCACCGCAGCCTGGTCCTCTGCTTCAGCCGCCGTGGCCGTGAGGGAAAGTAGGAGCAGATCCGACTGGCACAGTGACACGGACAATCGGAGAGCTCGAGGTGTGTAAATGCACACACATGCACATACGCACGCACCAGAGCACACACGTACACACACCGCCATCCCTACACACTCGCACACATCACCATCCACCCACCCCACACCACCGCTCACACCCAGCCCGCTGGCTCCCCCACCCTCACTGGAGAATTACACCAACGACAACTTCTTCCTCCTACCAGAAAGTTCTGACCGTCCCCAGTACCTCAACCAGGACACCGGAAGGTGATATTTTACATCCAGCACGGAGGCTCCTGGGAAATGTAGTCCCGATTGACAGAAATCCAGGAGGCCTACAGCTTCGGAGAAATCCCAGCATGCAACTTGAGCAGCCCGTCTGGGAACTTCGCTCAGTGGTTTGTGGGAGTTCCCACGGTGTGCGCGCTTAAAGGGGCGGCTCCCTAGCGTGGTGGTGGCGCACGCCTTTTATCCCAGCACTCGGGTCCCAGAGGAGAGCTCGAAGCCAGTTTGGTCTACAGATAGAGTTCTAGGGCAGGCTCCAAAGGTACCGAAAAACCCTGTCTCAAAAAAAAAAAAAAAGTTACTTCCGGGTTCTTCTTGTAATTTATTTTCTCTCCTATGAATTGTACAGACGAGCCTAAATTTAAAGTACAGAATTTGAATAAAATTAGATCAGGACGCCAGGCGGTGGTGGCACACACCTTTAATCCCAGCATTTGGTAGGCAGAGGCAGGCGGATCTCTGTGACTTTATGGCCAGCCTGGTCTACAGAGTAAGTTCCAGTACAACCAGGCTGTTACATACAGGAACCCTGTCTCGAAAAACAAACCAAAACAAACAAGAAAAAAAGCTCGAGACTTAACTGCTCTGAATACGCTTTGAGTTAGACTCTGGAGTAGGATTCCACCTCACTGTGAGACAGTGGGACTATGATAAATTTGAAAAGACTGAACTAGAGAATCGGTTTGTTTGTTTGGTTTAAAACGAGAGTACTTAACATCACAGATTTCAGAGAATCAGATGAGCCAGGCCCTTCCATGGTTCAGTGCCCATGCTATTTACACAAGAAAATATTATTGAGGACTGAAGGGTCCAAGAATAAGAATATAAAAATATAAACCGGGCAGTGTTGGGACACGCTTTTAATCCCAGCTCTTGGGAGGCAGAGGCAGGCAGATCTCTGTAGTTTGAGGCCAACCTGGTCTATGGCGTAAGTTCCAGGACAGGCTACAGAGCTATAGAGAAACCCTGAATCGAAAAACCAATATACACACATGCCTAGGAGAATAAGAACAGACTGTCAGCAGCTTCCTCAGTAGCCTAAGGATTAACTATTAAGAGTGGGTTACTCCGCTTTACAACCCATAGCTCTGTTTACAAGGCCAAAGCATCTCTCTGCAAACTGAGAGCTAACCTACAGATATGAGCTGTGTCAACTTTTAGGAAATAGATATATGACCTCTGGGTTATGCATTATCCCTGCTATGTGAAACTGGCAGCATCAAAGGGGAGACCACAGAGCTTCAATAAACACCACCTGAAAGTACCAAGAAAGACAATAGATTAAGTCACTAGTTTAACTGAAAAACTCTGTTAAAGGAGATGGTAAAGTGGCTATCTGTATCTGAGATTTACCTTGAGATAATAAAAATTCCTTTGTTCAGACCTAATGCTTGGTGCCTTTACTGTAAAAAGGTGGGTTCAGAAACCAGCCTTTGCCACAGCCTTACAGAAGCCATCTCTGGCTGTGGTCTCAGCTAGCTGATAAGCTTTTTGTGCCCCATGGAGATTTTTTATTTTATTTTTTTATTTTTTCCTGGATTCTGGTTTCTGGAATAAAGTTTGCTTCTTGTTTATTAGACTTTGGTGGTCTGTCCCCATCTTTGCACACCCCCCCGAACCCAACAAGGACCACGTTGGTATGTGACACAAGAGCTGTGACCATGTTGAAGGATGAAGGATTAGCACGTGGCAGTATCCTAAACAAACTCAGAAGAACTCTTCCCTTTTGTAGAAAAAAACCTACTTTTGTGGTAACACAACACTATTGAACTTTCAAAGTCACCTTTGTTGTTTATTTACACATTTTTTTTATTCCAGAATGTTATGAGGAACAAATTTCAAGACAGTTGATGTCCCTAATAAGACCACTAAGTGTATGAAATGAATTATGAGTGCCCGAGAAGCTGAATGTGTAAGTTGTCAGATTGGTCTGGAAACATGCAAGCCCAACTGAAAATATATTAAAGAACACTACAAAAAATATATTAAAGGTACGTACTCTAGCATATTCAATGTGATGATCTTCACAATAGTTAAGAGAAGACTGAAGTCGACTTTAACATTGAGGGAGCTGGGGACAAATAATATTGCCAGTGAAAATAAAGAGAGCAAGGGCATGGTAGGACATGGCTTTTAATCCCTGCACAGGAGATGCAAAACCAGATGGATGTCTGTGAGATGAAGACCAACTAGGAGGAGTTCAGCTAAGACTATATAGTGAAACCCTGACTAAATATTAAAATAAACTCATGGTATACTCCTAATGGCATAGCTTCAAAGATGAAGGAGGGGGAAACTTAGAGCATTATTAAGGAATGACAGCCAAATCTACCATCATATTCAAATGTTTTCAATTTCACTGATGAACAAGCCCAGAAAAGCACCAGGGCATTGTCGAATTGCACAGCATTTCAGCTATGAATGCTGTCAGAATCACAATAGAGACAGTGAAACATTAATGGAACCAAGGGTGTCTTGAAGGGAGGGCTTTCATCTTCACACAACAAAAATGGTTCCTAGACGCCTTTGAAGTCCATAGTGGCACTCAAGGCCCACATGACCTTACACAAGAAAGATGCTTCTGTGAGTACATCTGTTGGTTCCGTTTCTCTAACTACAGGATGATGTCATTTTGTCATTGCTTCTTGTAGCCAAGGATGTTCCAAAACGACTTCTCTTTCCTACACGTCACCTTTACAAACCCTTGCTTCCCTGATCTCCCCGAATTATCATGTGCTCTATTGTACATCTTCTATATTGCAGTCCTCTGGTCACCCCTGAACTATTTTAAGACATCTATTCTCTCGGGGGGGTTTTATTGGTGTACATTCTTATGTATACACACTTGGGGGGGGGGGACTTGGTCCCTGGTATTCTTCTTTATCACTCTCCACCTTATTTTTTGAAAGAGATTTTCAGTGACCCGAGAATGCCCAGTTTACTAGATAAGCTCACCAGTGAGGTTCTACCATCCACCTGATCTAGACAATAAGCTCTGCAGACGCTTGGTTTATGTTCCTACCTTGGGCTTTTTTAATATTGATATTCATTGAGCTCTACATTTTTCTCTGCTCCCCTCCCTGCCTCTTCCTTACTCCCTTAAGCCCTCCCTAAAGGTCCCCATGCTCCTAATTTACTCAGGAGATCTTGTCTTTTGATACTTCTCATGTAGATTAGATCTATATATAAGTCTCTCTTAGTGTCCTCATTGTTGTCTAAGTTCTCTGGGATTGTGGTTTACAGGCTTGGGGTTTTTTTGTTTGTTTTTTCTTTATGTTTAAAAACCACCTATGAGTGAGTACATGTGATAACTGTCTTTCTGGGTCTGGGTTACCTCACTCGAAATAATATTTTCTAGCTCTGTCTGTTCTCCTGCAAAATTTAAGATGTCATTTTTTCCTACTGTGTAGTACTCCATTGTGTAAATGTACCACATTTTCCTTATCCATTCTTAGGTCAAGGGGCATTTAGGTTGTTTCCAGGTTCTGGCTATGACAAACAAAGCTGCTAT